TTTATTAAAAGAAAAATAAATAAATAAATTATTTAAAATAAATAACCAAAAATAAATGTAAAATATAAAACAGTAAAATTTACCACATAGCTTTTTATTTAATGTTTAATTATATCAATATTTTCTTAATATTCTAGTCTATTTTTATACACAAATAGAAAGCTAAACTGTTTATTATAAAACTTCAACAATCAAAACAATCAATAAATTAAAATGAATAACCAAACAATGAACATAAAATAAAAAACAGTAAAATTTACTACATAACTTTTTTTTTAAACGTTTAATTATACCAATCTTTTCTTAATATTCAAGTCTATTTTTATACAAAAATAAAGAGCTAAACTGTTAATTATAAAACTTCAACAATCAAAACAATCAATAAATTAAAATGAATAACCAAACAATGAACATAAAATAAAAAACAGTAAAATTTACTACATAGCTTTTTTTTTTAAACGTTTAATTATACCAATCTTTTTTTAATATTCAAGTCTATTTTTATACAAAAATAAAGAGCTAAACTGTAAATTATAAAACTTCAACAATCAAAACAATCAATAAATTAAAATGAATAACCAAACAATGAACATAAAATAAAAAACAGTAAAATTTACTACATAGCTTTTTTTTAAACGTTTAATTATACCAATCTTTTCTTAATATTCAAATCTATTTTTATGCAAAAATAAAGAGCTAAACTGTTAATTATAAAACTTATTCATAATTTTCTTTTAAAAAAATTCTCTAGTATGAATAGTATGTATTTTTGATAAACTTTAATTGACTATTATTTAGAATTGTAGCTGGCCCTTTTTGTACTATGCTGTTAGGAGACCTCGGGGCGGAAGTTATAAAAGTAGAACCTCCAAGTAAGTTATTTACACAGTATCAATTATAATATCATTTACAGAAAAACTCTTTTCTTAATACCGCTATTCATGTTTTTCTAGTCCTTTTAAGCAGTGTTACCTTTACTTTTATTGTGTTCAACTATTATGTCGTATGTCAACATTTCTTTCATTTTGTATAACTGTACAATCAGATGGTATTTGCACGTCTACATTTACCATGACTGCGTGTAATTGTATTAGCGGATGGTATTTACACGTCAAAGTTTTCTTTGATTGCGTTCAACTATTATATTGGATGTCAACATTTCTTTCGGTTTGAAGGTTCGGGACAGGGGGGGGGGGGAGACTGAGAGAGAGGCATGGTCTAACTTTATGCTTTTCGAAGAAAACTTTTCCGCTGTTAGTGAAGAAAAACCAAATAGGAAATTTTTTTTAATCTTCCCACCACTTAAACGATTTATTGTGAACCTCGGGGTCAGGACAGCCTGGTTGGTAGAGCACTAGACTCGCGTTCGTGAGAACGGAATTCAAATCCAGCCGGCCGAAGACTTCCCGTGTGGTAAATGGTGATGTTACACGTTAAATCTGTCGGGTCACGAAGTCTCCCATGTTCCCATAACAAATTATACCTTTGCTGAATTAGAGATTCATCTTTCTCTATTTCTGGTCAAAATTAAGATGTGTGGATGAATGAATAAATCTATGAAAGGCTTCACCCTATAAACGGCATTAACGTATGGGTGTGGTAGAAGTAAAACTCTTGTCCATAGATGCTGCCACTAGAAAACAAGAGCAATCCTTCCCCTTGCCTTAATGGCCTACGACAATAACAACATAGTGAACCTCTTCGAATCATACGTATACGGGTGAAATGCGAATCATAGGTATACGGGTGAAATGCGAATCATATTTATACGGGTGAAATGCGAATCATGCGTATACGCATTCTCAGGGTAGCCACAATCAGGGTGAAAGAGATAAAACTGGTAGATAAGCTGTTTCGTTGATAGTTTATTTATGGGAGGGTAAATAATAGTTCAAAATAAAAATTACTTAGTTACGCATTGAGCTAGAGAATTAAAGCAAAAATAAGTCTGTCAAATTAGCCATGCCTTACCATTATTTTATTTATTCCTAAAATTCGCACATAAGATCAAAAGTTATTCCAAATGTTCCCTTTTTTTGCATGCTGTATATGACATGTAAGTGATTTTAACGTACGTAGGTACGTAATATAGGTTCTGTGGTACTAATTGTATATCCCCCTTTAGCATGTAGGTATCAAAAATGTAAATTGAACTGTTATTTGCAGGTGGAGATGAAACTCGCAACTTTGGAACAACTTTTATAAAAGATGAAAGCGTAGTTTACATGTCAATCAACAGAAATAAAAAGGTATGGATGAAATGGAGTTGGGAATTTTTGCTTAATATTATACATGACACGACTATTCCAGGTAGTATTTTGGCAATTTTATTTACAAGCTACTCAGAGGATATTTTAAGAGACATATATATATATATATNCCACTCGAAAATGATAATTAAAAGATGCGATCAATTGTGAATTGTAAGCATTGTTAATAAAGTTTGTCTTAAAGAAACAAGATGATTTCACTAAAAATCAATTTCTACCCCTTCCTATTTTCATTTCCACATTACGAAGTTTCACTTCTTCCGCGCGGACGGACTCCACGCACTATTTTTTTTTTTAAATTGAAACATTTCTTTTCCCTCATTCTTTATTTTATTTGTATAGGCTCTAAGCGTTCCAGACCTTTCGTTGAATCCTAAGTATTCGAAATTTCAAGACAGAATGCAAAACAGAGAAGAACTATATATATATAGTAACAAGCATACTCAGAATGACAAAATTATGCTACACTAGCTGCTGCCAGCGAATTTTATTAATTTCCGAAATTCTTTTTATTTCCGAACAAGTTGGAATTTTGATAAAATATTCAGTATTTATTTCTCCAATAGAAATTCTCTTTCAATCAAGTTTTTGTTGCCTTATTCTAAGGTGCATGGCGGCCCACGTGACGTTCAAGTTTAGTGGTGAATAATTCTCGAATTTATTATCAAGAGTTAAAATTTCATATTTCCTTGTACACCTTGTATTTTTTCTGTGTACCTTGATACAGTGAAACCACCAGGAAAGACCACCTCTGTGTAGCGACCTCTTCTCTTTACGACCACTTTTGGGGGGCCCGTAATTTTTTCCATGGAGTTTATGGTGAAGGCAACCTTCTCTAGCGACCCGGAAAACCTCCGCACCAAATGCGAAAAAGGTCAAATAAGAAAACACGAAAAAATATGAAAACATTAACAAAATAAATAACTAGATTCAAATGTATTCAAAATATTTGTGTGTGACTCTTATTTTGAGAGCTCTTTTTGACAATCCCTGTTAGAAATTAACAACCTTATGTTCCAGTTAAGACGATGCGAAAAACTATTATTTTTTTGAAGTTGAAAATTAATTAAAAAAAAAGTTTTTTTTTTTTGAAAAAACCTAAGCATCTCAAGCAAACAATCCTCTTCTTATTTTTTTAAAAGCTAACTAATTTTTATGGTAAAAAATTAAATGCAAACTTAAGCAAAAAACTTAATTGTTTACTTACATAAAATAGTTCTATCTTTCATAATTGGTAAATCTTTTTTACACATAATTAGGGATCATTTATATGGATGCTAATTTTTATCCAGCGATCCGATTTTCATGAAGCCAACACAAGTGGAATTTCCGCACCAAGAAAATGACACTGAGTCTTTTACACAAAATTATGCACCTTAGATATTTTGAAGTCAATGGAGAACGACCAACCTCCATTAACAACCATTTAACTGTGGAATAGAAAGTGGTCGAACCCAAGAGGTTTCACTGTATTTACAAGTTTCTCCAGCACTATACAGCATCACTACATGAAGTTTCGCGCAGTAATGACACGCGTAATTTGGCCAAGATGTATGAAGCTAATATTTATTGTTAATATCATATATTCATTATTTATTAATAATACCACATTTTCATTATTTATTATTAATTTTTTCCGTTTCTATTTTGAGCGATTTTAAATGTTTAAGTGACTGTTATTTCTACTTGCACGATTGACAAATATTTTTGAAAAGAATTTCTCTCGTTTTTAGGGCATTGCTGTTGATATCAAGAGACCAGAGGGTAGGAAACTCATTGAAGAAGTAAGGAAATAACTTGATTTTGAACGTAAATCATGTCACTATTTCATAAATAAAATGAATATTCTACTTTGGCCGGCCATTTCACGAAGTGGCTGCGATGTTCCAGCCAAAACGCGATGTCTTTAGTATTTCTAATAACTTTTACTTCACAGAAAAATTTTTTTTAGCTGTATGCTTCTTCACATGCCGGGTGGTACGGTGAGACCACAATTTTTTAATATTTGTTTTATTAAAAAGTTAATTTGTTTTCTTCCTTTTTCCTTTTGTTTTCTTTTTTAATTTAAAAATATGAATCTTCTAATTTAAAAATATAAGAAATAGACACGTTTTTAAAGTAAAATTTAAAAAATTTAATTTTTTACTATGTCTCAAATAGCCACATCCCACCGCAGCTAATAATTTTTAAAGAATGAAGTTATGGTTATACAGAGCCAATAATGCTTGCCAATGATTTTTTCTTCCAACTTTGACTGATCCTCCCAGCATGCCACTTCGTGATCTGGCCGGCCAATTCGCGAAGTGGCCGAACTCGGGCTTTGGCATATGTTTATATATATATATTATTTTTTAGGACTTATGTCATGCTCCTTCAAATTGTTCTTATCCTTTGTAGCTTGCTAAAGAAAGTGATATTTTTGTTGAAAATGTCATTCCGGGCAAGATGAAGAAATTGGGATTAGGATACGAGCAACTGAAATCAATTGCACCTCATTTAATTTATTGTTCCATATCAGGTTAGCATATGAATTGTGTTTTTAACGATATTTTCAATAGTCTTGCTCGTCGCTACTAACCTTTTTGTTTTTTACGATGGTTTTCTTAGTGTTACTTGAATGAACTTACTTACTTGTAATGAATATATCGTTAGTGAATATAATCAATATCGAAATCTGCCGTTTTTACGGGTGACAAATTAACATTTAGTCGAACATTTACAATTTAACAGGATTTGGACAGACTGGTCCGTATAGCTCTCGTCCGGGTGTTGATCTCATAGCTGCTTCAATCGGCGGTTTCTTGCACATCACCGGACCAAAAGATGGAGAGCCATGCTCAGTTCAAGTTCCCATTACAGATTTTATTACTGGTACCTATGCCCATGCAGCAATCATGGCCGCTTTACTGCAGCGAGCAAAGACTGGTAAAGGGACAACTATAGAGTGTGATCTGTTGAGCTGTCAGGTAAAATCCTTAATCAATTCTAGCAGTGATTATTATTATTATTATTATTATGAAATTCGTAATAAGGTTCATATTAAGTGATAATACGAAACAATAACAAGCTTCAAAATCATTATTTTTATAACTTTTTCACAAAACTGTGGCTTTTCTTCTTATTGTCACCATTTTAAGACTTACCTAATCAAAATTACATATTCTTCACAAAAAAGCGTTATTTCATGAGAAGACAAAGCTTTCGGAAAACAGACTTTTTCAGTTTATACTTATAGAATAAAATCTCACTCGATGGCATTCTATAAAACCCCTCTGAATTAAACTTCCTGACCACGTGAAATCTTTCCGGCATTAAAGCATTGCTGATCACATAATTTTTTCCCTCTAAATGTTTGAGAGATTTTTAAGGCTTATCAAGTACTATTTCTTAATCTAATAAAGTAAAGCCTGTATTTTCCATTATTTTATGAATACAAATTATGCTGTCAAATAATATTCTACATTTAAAAGTTTGTTGAGAATAAAAAACGTCAAGTGAAAAATCCAATATGCAAGTATCCGAGGAGGGTGTATGTTTAAAAAATTTCACTACAAAAGTCAAATAATTTTCTTCTATTAAGAATCTGTTAAAAAAAAAATACTACAAGAAAATGAATATCAAAAATTCATCCCAAACTCCAAGGTGGCAAGGAGAGAAGCCTGTTAAATGACAATTAAAACAAGAGCGTCAGTTTACCATGTTTAAAAATATGTTGATTCTAAGTATAAAACACTGTGAAAGAAAAACATTGTAAAACATTGTAAAGAGGCATGTTGGGAGGCAAATTTCCATACGTTTGCATTAGCCTGTGCACATTACTTCTGAGCATCCTAATGCAAGCATACGTTGATTTGACTTCCGTTAACCTTTTGCTTAGCCTTAGGAAAGTGTCTTCAAATTTATAATATTCTTAAAATCGTCAGACTCACCTTGGTAGGACATTTTAATTCGATTTATAACAGTCTATACATCTTTGGTTTAAGACTATCATTGTTCAACTCTGTAGCCTTGAAATTTTCAATCTAACCCAGGAGACAAGGGAACTCCTGGATCAAGCATTGGGATAAACTTGCCTTCCCTGAGGACTTCCTGATGGAACTAATTCGCATTCACGTTACATAGAGAACCTAACCCGCTACCAAGCGTAACCTTTATAGGATAGGCAGTAATTGATGTATGTGATGACTTGTTTTCGTAGTCACGTTGATAGAAAAAAATACATGGCATAAAAGACCAATCATCTCACACATGAATTACGGCCTGATCGGGTGAACTAGGAGAATTGAATGTGAACGACCAATCATCTCACACCTGAATTACGACCTGATTGGGTGAACTAGGAGAATCGAATGTGTAAGACCAATCATCTCACACATGAATTACGGCTTGATCGGGTGAACTAGGACGATTGAATGGGACAGACCAATCATCTCATACATGAAGTACGACCTGATTGGGTGAACTAGGAGAATTGAACTAGAACCCTTTTTAATCCCTCTTGTGGCGTCACACACCTGTTGCTAAACTTGATTAAGTGGGAAGTCACCCACTGTTTTATATTCCCTTTCTAAAATTTTCAACAAAAAATGAAATCCAAATCCACTAAAATGCAATTTTGAAATCCACTAAGTTTTTCAATTTAGTCTTATGCTCCAAGTATGACTAGTTCGGCTTAATTTTTTCAACTTAAGGTCAACTGGCAATAATATGGCGCATTGTTTTGTAGTTGTCAACACTTAACTTCGCCGCAAATTTTGTCCTGAATGATGGGGTCGAAATCAACCGAAGGGGAACCTTGAGTGATGTTCTTGCTCCCTACCAGGCATTCAAAACCAAGGACGGCTACTTTTCTCTGGCATGCCTCTCTGATGAAAGATTCAAAGATGTCTGTGAAGTGAGTATTTCGAGTGAGCATATAACAGGATGTTCACTGAAATCTGCATCTATCCTCTAACACAGCTTCAGTTACAAAAATAGAGCCAATTTGAAGTAAGCTGCTTGTGCTATGTAAGCGGAGACTGATTTCAGCTCAATTTTTTTTAAGGAACTGAAGAGGTCCTGAGTGCACTGATCGTAAAGACGCGGTTCCTCACCGCAGTCAAGCATTACTGTTTGCGGTCAGTGTACGGGTGGGTGACCACTTTGATCAGCCTGCGTAGGGACCGAGGGTGTGCGGTATCGGTCCTCGTTAAACTGTTCGACCGTAAAGTGCTCGACTTCGCACGCAGGTCGTCGAGCTACCAAAACGGTGGAGCCATCCCCTCTGCAGAGGATCAGAATTGTGATGGCATGGCTCTGGATCATCCTCAGAGATGTTTCCTAGACCGTCGCCAATAGCCCATTGTGCAGCTCTGGTGCCACGTAAACAAAGTACCTGCATTTCTGGAAAAATTGAAGAGGTACGTCCTCTAAAGTACTGGGTCTGTAAAGTGCAGGGCTAAGTATTCGCCACTCTCGCCAAATGCAATTAAATTTAGAGAATGAAAATGTGTTTTGGCGAAAGTATTGACGAATGATTTTTTTCACTGGAAAGAAATTAAAATTACGTCAACATGAATTTTTCTAAACAAATCAGTATTTTTTAATCGATTATAGTTATTGTCGGTAGATGCGCCGCTCTACCAATTAGAATGGGGTCCAAATAAAGTAAACCTGAAACAAACTAGCGTAAAATAGTTTTCTATGGGAAAAAATTAATTGAAATTTTTTTTTAAGATTTGCTTTTGGGGAAGACTTTCGAAAATTTTTCGAATACTTTTGATATTCGGCTACTTTACTGGCTTATAACTTGAAATCCTTAGCGCGGGCCCTGAGATGGTATGGGTTAGAATGAAAAAGAAAATTACACAGTTGTAATCATTGATTTAGTCATCGTGAAGACATTAATGATGAGAAATAAATGCTTCAGACCATTACCTTCTAGAAAAGAGAACGTATCCATTTTAATATATCTTAATGAAAGTTAACTGATTAACTGTTTTTTCTACTGGAAAAAGGACTTAAATAAAACTGTTGGAAATATTGCAAAACACGTGCACCTCTTAAAAATCAGACTTATATTATTTTATGTGGCTGGGTGGCGCAGTTGTTTTGTCGTCGGCCTTCTGAGCCCAAGTCTGCGGGTTCGATCCCCGGCCCAGACACCGGATTTTCGGGATGCAGAAAATCCTCAGCGGCCATGTCGTATGATTATGCGGCATGTAAAAGATCCCTGGACTGCCTTATTGGCTCTTGGCATTTCCGGCAAAATTAAATTCCTTGTGCACTTTAGCATCCAAATAAAGTCTCAGAGCTGTCATCTAGTGTGGCAGAAACTAGACGTCCAAATTAACATGACCAACGGTATCTCAAACATTGTGGTGGTCCTGAAAGAGTGGATACCACCTCTGGAAAACGCACTAGGTCTGCTCATCGGCAAGAACGATTGTGCAGCTCATTGGAGGAAAAAAAATTATTTTATTACCCCATGTGATTTTTTTTGGACTCAGAATTGAAAGTTATGGCGATTAACTTAAGCCAGAAACATGAAAAACGATTTCATCGGCAAACACAAATCTTGTCGATAATCCATCTATATTCTATTTCTGGAAATTTTCGCTGGAAACGTACGTTTTGTCTTAAGGTCTTAGTGTTTGTACCACCTGAAAGGTAAAGTAAAAGAATCTAATGTACATGACTAGAATGGGTCAGAATCTCTAAATTGTACCGTTTTCTCTGTACTCATTTACCTCAACTTTTCTTATTATTTGAAGAAAGGAAAGAGATTCATTTGGTTCTGTAACACAACAAGCTCTGCTTGAAGAGGAACAAGCCTTGAAGAAGAACTGCTTGAAGAGGAACTGCTTGAAGAGAAGGCCTCAGCACGGATCAATTTAGTAGTCTGACGTATGGAGCATAAACTGTGCAGTGGACGGAAAAAGGAGAATGTCGTTTCCTTCGGGCAACTAAGCTGCGCAGTGGGAGTTATTACGAAGAATGTCATTACGTTTGGATTGGATCATATTTCTTTCTTATGGTAACTCGTGCTAAGGCCTTCTCTCTTCTAAGAGGTATCAAACAAGCATGCTTAATTGGATTTCGGATGAGTTTGGATTTCGAACAAATTTGGGGCAAATATTAGGGGGACCGGAAAGTTATGTCGTTTCGGCGCATTAAATATTCGTTAGTCTCAAAAACCAATTCAATTTTTCGATTCATTTCAATTAATTTTCTATACTGCATTGAAAGGTTGCTGCTAACGAAGGTGAATACATTATTGATTAAAATAAAATCTTGTTAACAAATATCAGATGCACCGAAACGACATTACTTTCCGGTTTCCCTAATGTTTACGTTTCCTCTGTAAACTCGGTAAACAATTAACTTACAAAATAAAAAGATGGCTAATTGTGCTGTTGTTGTTGTTAATTTACGTCGCACTAGAGCTGCACAATGGGCTATTGGCGACGGTCTGGGAAACATCCCGGAGGATGATCCGAAGACATGCCATCACAATTTTGATCCTCTGCGGAGGGGATGGCTCCCCCGCTTCGGTAGACCGACGACCTGCGAGCGAAGTCGAGCACTTCACGGTAGCACAGTTTAGCGAGGACCAATACCGCACACCCTCGGTCTATACGCAGACTGATCCAAGTTGTCACCCACCCGCACGCTGACCGCAGCCAGTGATACTTGACTTCGGTGATCTGCTGGGAACCGTGTCTTAACGATCAGTCCACTGCGGGACGGCTAATTGTGCATTACAGACATTTTTTTCGTAACACAAGGCACACCTTTGTATGAGACACATTGAATTCAGAACTTACATGACGTTTTGATTTTGTTGATTTCATGAATTCTTACCTATTTGGGATTTTGTATGCTGTTCCTCCTTCGGCTATTTATCTCATACAAACAACCTTGAGTCTTCAAACTACTTCATCCACAGTTCGACGCTGTGATGATGTGAGAGTTCTTTGTACGACGATAAACGACTATGTTTCGGTTTATTCCAAGACACGGTACGCTTGTCTCTTCCTGAAAGAGGACACAATTCTGATTATCATAGCCTCTAGCGGCGATTTTGTAACCAGAACAATTTTTTTACCGTCGACAGATAAAACATGCATTTTTTTTTTTTGCAAGATTAATTCGTTTTGGCAAAATAACTCAACTACAGAATTTGCACTACGTAATTCAACAACAGAAATTGTAGTATTTGTAATTCAATTACAGAATTGTATTTTTGTCCAAATTCATTATGAAACGTCCCGCAGTGGACTGATCGTTAAGACACAGTTCCCAGCAGATCACCGAAGTCAAGCATCACTGGCTGCGGTCAGTGTGCAGGAAGGTGACCATTTGGATCAGTCTGCGTAGGGACCGAGGGTGTGCGGTATTGGTCCTCGTTGAACTGTTCTACCGTAAAGTGCTCTACTTCGCGTGCAGGTCGTGGGGCTACCGAAGCGGGGGTGCCATCCCCTCCGCAGGGGATCAAAACTGCGATGGCATGTCTTCGGATCATCCTCAGGGATGTTTCCCAGACCGTCGCCAATAGCCCATTGTGCAGCTCTAGTGCGACGCAAATGAATAACAACAACAACATTATGAAACACCCTTGTTACTGGGTATAGTAAAAATATATGTATTGAATTTTGTGTAAAATTATAAGTTAACTGTTAGATTAAAATTATCTAAATTTCAAGCAGTATGTTACACAGATCGGCATCTTTAATGTGACGCTCAATATTTCTTGCCGATAAATACAGTGAAGATCCGATATTGCCCAGGACCACTCAACACTTTGTGACATGAATTATCATTCTCTTCTAGTAAATCATTTTACCCATTGACAAAATGGGTCTTGTTTTGTGTTTTATGGCGTTCGCACTTTATTTGGACGTCATCACTCTTTTCAACTGTGTTCAAGTGTAATAGTAAACAGTGCGCATGCGTTGCTATGGCGACCGCTGCTGTTTGATAATTTTTTTATAATTCTTTTTTCCTTCTATTTTCACCGGCAGTCATTCTTAATGTATTTATATAATAATAATTTAAAGTATTTTTATATTCTTTTTATTATTAACTTATAGTTACTGTCTTGACGGTGATTTTAATATAAATATGAATACTGAAGGTCTTGAAGCACGTACATAGCCAGGATTTGAACACCAATGCGACGACAAACATCAATTGAGACAGTTTTTGCAACCCATGATTCGAAAAGTTGTGGCACTTATAGAAGTTAAACCAGAAAAAAAGCATTTAACCAATGGGAGGGTAACCAGTGATCGTAAGGCAGCGATCACGATTTTTGAAGTGAAACTTCTAACGCGACTTCCAACAAGGTTGCGTTAAGCGTTTAAAAAAAACCATGGCAACGAGCGGCCTGTGATCCTTGCAGGAGATTTTAATGTGAATTTCTCGTTACCTGAAGATTAAAAACATTATTAACCTTCCTTAAAGACAAATTTGGATTGGAAATGATAAATGGTAGGAATGGTTCAACAACCAAAGAGGGAACTACCATTGATGCAGTTTTTGAAAGAAATATTGAAAAAATAGAACTCAAACATTTCGTATCTTACTTTAGTTATCATAATCCCATTGTAAATGTTATAGATTTGGATATTTCTCCACTCGAAAATGATAATTAAAAGATGCGATCAATTGTGAATTGTAAGCATTGTTAATAAAGTTTGTCTTAAAGAAACAAGATGATTTCACTAAAAATCAATTTCTACCCCTTCCTATTTTCATTTCCACATTACGAAGTTTCACTTCTTCCGCGCGGACGGACTCCACGCACTATTTTTTTTTTTAAATTGAAACATTTCTTTTCCCTCATTCTTTATTTTATTTGTATAGGCTCTAAGCGTTCCAGACCTTTCGTTGAATCCTAAGTATTCGAAATTTCAAGACAGAATGCAAAACAGAGAAGAACTTTCCAGTTATCTTCAAACCATGTGAGTTCAATTTTCTGCCTGAATTCAAAATTTTGTTTCAAATCTTGATTTTATTTTTGATTATTACAAAACAAATAGTTTTTGTTTATGGTAACCCATACATCATTGTTTCATCTTATCCAAGTCAAAATTTTTGATGGTCCCATCAAAACATTTTGAGGGTTCATGTTGGTTTCAGTGCGATTCATGATGGTCCAGTATCCTTTGATGCCACCATCATCCAGAATTTTCCGTTACGTGTTCATGGTTTTCGATATGTCAACAAACTTCCATCATTTCATGATTGAAAATGCTACTTTAATACTATGATGGTCAACCATCAAGAGAAGTTTGATTCTCATTTACCTGCAATCAATGATTATCCGTGATGGTTCCAACTATACATTTACATGATGGTTTAATGGGAATTCTTGTTGGTTCTTAGGAATATACCATCAGAGCAATTTGACTTTTTTCTTCTGTTGGACCATCATAAATCAGTTTGAAGTCCTAGATTGGGATGGTGGTTATTCACGGTCATTCCAACATTTGATTTTTAAGATTCTATGATGGAAATTAGTGATGGTTCAACCAGGGCTCGAAAAACCGCCCGTTCTCGGCCCTCAAAAATTTCCCGCGGACAAAGAATTTCTCGAATCAGAAGTCCGCGCGGACGGCCATTTTCCGGTTAATGTTCGTGATACACTTTCAATTTTTGTTATCTTACAAGAGTCCAGCGCCTCACTTCTAAAATGACCCTCTAATCTAGAAATCCCGTACAGCAACATACTGCACATGGTGGATTGATGTTATTTCCGTCTGGGAGTACTGCAGCAGTTGAAAGGGACTTTTCAGCAATGAACTTGCAAAAAAACACATTACATAAGCGTTAAACGCAATTATGAACATCCACCTAAATGGAAAACCCCTTTCAGATTTCTGTGCAGAAATCTCTGTAAATCCTACGCTTTATTGTGGAACTGGCAAACGTCATACTTAATTCATTTAAAAAACGCAGCACCCTCGGATAAATTGACATTCCAGATAACTTGGCCTTTGTCATTTAAATTATTTCATAAAAGAAATAAATTATTTCAAAAAGAAATAAATTATTTCATAAAAGAAATACTAGGTTTTACAATTAGTAACCTAGTATTTCTTTTATTACTGTATAATGTAATCCTAGTAGCTACTAATTCATTGTGTAATTTATATAAATGTTTGTAATAAATAAGAAAAAATAATATTTTTATTTATTTAGAATGGACGGGTTAGTTTCAAAGGAGGACGGGTACATTGTTGGACAAGCCGTCCTCGGGGACGGGTAAAATTTCTGAGTTTTTTTGAGCCCTGGGTTCAACATAAACAAACCATCAAAACATGCTGCTTTTCTTATGTTGGACCATCATAAATCAATCCGAATTCCTACATTGAGGCAATGGCTATTTATGTTAATTACCATCAAAAAATATAATGGTTCACGATGAGATTATTGATGGTTACCATCAAGATTATGTTGGTCCATCAATGGAAGACCATCAAAAATTTTGACTTGGGTATACTTGATTGCAGGTTCGCAAAATACCTTAAACTGAAAGGACAAAAGTTCTTACAGATTACACGTTAATATTAAATCACTATCATATCATTTAGGGATGAATCTTTCAATCGAAATAGCAATCATGTTTTGACTTGCTAGAGCATTTAAAATTGGTAAAGCTTCGTATTGGATGAAATGTATGTTTTAACGTTTTATGATGGTTGCAAACAGAATTTATTGCTACATTATCAAAAAGGGAAAATATTTTTAAATCAAACTTTTGACCACTTGTGTTTTAACACAAAATTCTAACTGAATTTTTATACGTGATTATAATACAAGTATCGAGTCGTTTCTTCATCCTTAGAATCACTATTTTATTTTATTTTATTTTATTTTATAATCGGCTTTCAACAACCGACCTATGTTTGGGCTTATGACTATCAACGTTCGATTCCGTAACCTTGTAATTTTAAACTCAACCAAGAAGACAAGGGATTTCCTGGATCACTCATTAGGAGAACTAGCTTTTGGAATAACTTTCATTTTCATTGCGCGAAAAGGAAATCCACGAAAACCTCACATGGGCCGACGGCATGGAGATTTTAACTCATGATCTATCTACCAATGAGGATATTTACGTCACCCGTTGCCACAATTGTTGGTGCGAGCCGAGAGAAAATTTGAATCGACCAGCCATCGCTGGAATTCGAACCTAAGTCCCCTCATTACCTTCATACCTGTCAATTATCATGTCACTCCTAATCACGGAATCCCACAAGTCTCCCTCTTTGAGAACCTCTGCAATAGTTTTTGTTTACTTGTTTCTTTCCATTGTTTAGTTTTGAAACCAAAACAACCGAAGACTGGGTGGAAGTGTTTGATGGAAGTCCAGTGCCGAATGGACCGGTCAACAGCATGAAAGGTGTTTTCAAGGACCCACAAGTAAATATTCTTGATATATGTGGTACCATTCGCAAAACTCATCCTCCAAACTTTTGGGAATATTTAGCACTAATATAGACAAGACCACAACAACCTAGCAACAATTGTACCTTGGCTCTAGCTGGGCTCAAAAATTAGCTCAATATGGGTCCTACATGAGCATGCTCTGAGGGACCAATATTGGATTTCGGACCAATATTGGACCAATATTGGATAACCAAGATTTTTTAATATTGCTCCTATAGAGTGTCAATATCGGCTTATATAGGGCTATTATTGGCTGCGTAATGATTATAAAATATCGGTTGAATCCGATAATTCCATATTGGGCTAATATTGGTTTTAAAATGACAGTAAAATATCGGGTTAATTGGAAAATTCTACATAGGGCTCATATCGGAAAAATATTGTCCCTTTGAACCCTTATTGAGCCAAGATTCGCTAATATTGGCCCAATGTGGGCCCAAGTTATTTTGCCGCTATATACACCAAGTTTTGAGGAATGACGACTTATACCGGTGAATCTGAACAATCACATAGTCGTCTTGGTGAAATCACGAAATATTCGTTATGTCCGCTTTGATATTAATTTATTCATTCATATATTAATATTTATTTGATCTGATAATGCACGTAGGGGACTTTTTGACGGAACTAACGCGCATTCCCATTCCAGAAATGAAAGCCTCCCGTGGTTAGTCTAACGACTAAACTAACCATGACAGGCTGATAGGAGGCCATTGCAGGAATCCATGACCCGTCACTACTGTTTATGGTTTACCTCAGCACTGTAATCGTTGCGAGCAATTGAGGAATACGAATTCATATCATCCGTATTCCTCAACCATCGTTGGGATACGAACTTGCGTCAACTCACTTCGATGCGAGCGCTCTATTCCTTGAGTCATCGCAGTTCAAACTTCTTGTATTTCGTTTTATAACCGTTGAAAAGACGATCCAATTTTGAGTTTACGGTTACCATGTTGTAATTCTTTGTAATTTTGAACCCAATCCAGAAGACAATTGGGAGCTCCTGGATCAAGTATTGGGAAAAATTTGCTTTCGTGGAGGACATTTTGATGTAACTAACCCACATGGTACGGAAAACCTCCCACGATTAGCCTGACGACATGATCCATCTACCACTGAAAATTTTTTACGTCAGCTCTGTGGTCGGTGCGAGCCGGGTGCGGAATTCGTGTCAACTAAGGATTCGAACCAGAGTCATCTCATATGGAGGCGAGTGTTCTATCCCCTGAGCCACCACGACTCAATCTCAATAATTTTAAATGTGAGTCTATCGTAATTTTGCATTGCTTTGTGATTCCTTTCAAATAAAAATATGTTCAAGGAGCGCTGTGTGGTCAGCTGACATATGGTACTAAAAACATAACAAAGAGTTATGCAGTTGCATATAATATAAATGAATTAGCAACTGCATAAATATTATATATTCATGTAACGATAGTGAATCTATTTAAAATTTTAAAACATTTTATTTATTTTTTGCATCACGAAGTGCTCTTGTAGGAATTTAAAAGTTTTTTCCAATACCATGGTTCCCGAAATTTGTTGTCCCAGTGTAATTGTTATGTATAACGTTTCCTATTTTGTTCTAAATTTTGCTTTTTATTTTCAGGTTATACATAAAAATTTAGTTAAAGAATTCAAACACTCAAGAGTAGGAAATGTTAAAGTAGTCGGTAAGTTACAACATGATTTCCTCAAATTATGTCAATTAGTTGTTTTGTTAAAAAAATAGGTACACTTTACAAGCAAATCAAATCTTTCTTCACTTTTATAAAGTACCACTTGTTCAATAAATTTAAAAAAAAAATCGGCTGAACAAGAACATGTATTTCTTCTGTGTTTACATTGTAAGTTTGAAAAGTATTAAGAATGGTGTAACATTTTATTCTTGATAAAATTTAAAAGTAGTAGTAAAATTGGAGTAATAAAACTATTTTAGCATGTTTATAATAACCATGTTTTTAATAACTTCAAATGTATTAATATACAGAATGTTTCTTAAAGATCACCCTTAATATTCTTTTATAGAATTTTTTTAAATCAAAAATCAAAGCAAAAATGTATACACAGTTAATTATTAGGGCAAAATGCTTTTCCATACGAGATGGAGAGAAGCTAATGTCGTTAACACAGGTATCGGCATTCATATGATGTTGATTCTTTTGTTGACGACAGGTGTTTTAATGTTTAAAGTTCAATGTAACAGTTATGTTTCTGCTCACCAAAAGTCATTTAGCTATGATTAGCTAAACTCAACCTCTACAGTTTTTTCTAGCTTTTTTTAAATCGTTTTTTTTTCATTTTCCGATTGTAACATTACGTTTTAAATCACTTTTGTTTTCTTCATTAATGTCTTGAGAATGGGTGACGATTTTTAAGCGCTCGAATCATATCTACATTTAATAGCACTTTCTTATTTTTGAAGCAAATGAAGTTTTATATCATCAAATAGAAAAGTTTATTTTAAACTTTTAAAGCATAGTCTGTAATTTATGTAAAATAATAAGATTAAAAAGTTATATGAAATAATAATCGACTTCTTTCTTAATTTGATCTCAAGCGAACCGGAAAAAAAATTGTAACTTTATTTTTTCTCAATTTATAACGTAAGACTGAAAAGTATTAATAAGTATTCTATAGGCATTTTATTGTACCATATTAGAAAAAAATAACTAAAAATGAATCTGCAATGCAGTGCATAGAGATTAATTACGTACACGAAACATTAAAGAAAAAAATCGCTTACTAAGATATGACGAAATACGCAAAATTCACATTAATAGGCGTATGACATTAACTTTTAGAAACTCTCTATATCGAAATAGTATTCCGCGAAACCCTAGAGTTCCGTAGAAAGATCACAAGGATTATGAGAGCTAGGACATTTTTTAACCAGTAATAATTATACTTACATCTAATCAATAATTCATAAAATATATTTCGATTGTTTAAATGAAATTATATATGTAAAATGCCAATTAAAAATTTGTTTTAATAACAATTTATTGAATAAAATATAAAAAGAATATGCATTTATAAAGAATTTCATAACGATTGCTAATTGAACTTTTCAATTCAAAATTATTGACCGAATTCAAGAATAACGAATTATGTTTCTCTACATTACTATCCTCGATATTTATAAGAGAAAAATCACAATTCAACTTATTTTATTCATTTTCAGCGCAGACATAAACCAAAAACTAATTTAGAATTTAAAATATTTCACTCTTCGCCTTAAATATTTGCAAAATTAGTAATTTTTTTTGTCAGAATATCCATAGCCGGTAATGAACTTTTTTTTTATAATACGTCTGGGTTCCGCAAAAAAGAAGCTCGATCATTTGGGGTTAAAAACCAAAGAATTGGGAACCGATGCTCTAAACTATTGGGAACCTATTCTACTGATAGCGACTACCCCTATATTTTAAGGGTCAAAAATTCAAATCCGTCAAAAAATAAAAATTGGAGTGTTTAAGATAGAACTATTAAAAGTGAAACCCAATACGTGAACATCTGATCATTAGTTATTCAAGGTTTTCCGTTTCTTTTTTATTTTCTGACGCTACGTTCTTTTTAAATCGCAATTACTCGCCTCTAAACTAAGGTTTGAATATTTCAAATATATTAAGAATAGTGTTCCTCACTTACTATCAGTAATAATTGTTGTTAAAATCCTCGTCATAAATTAAGCAGGGGTGATTGTGAGTCCAAGTCAAAATTCCGGAAAATTTCTTAAGTAAAAAAAAACAGTTTATATTGAAAAAAATTTCAACAAGTTTTTTTTTCTTCCTTTTTCACAATATTTCTTAGTTTCCTTAAAATATATTTAAAATTTTACACATACCAATGATGATCTGGAGAAGTAATTAAAATTTACAAACATGTCTTTCTTTCTTGAGTTTATGATTATAACAACTATTTACTGATAAAAAATGAATATTAATCATGAATATAAGCCTATAAAGTATTTCATTGGCTCTCCCTTACAAACAAATAAAATAAATTGTGATTTGAAGTTCCACCTTTGAAAATTTGATTTCCAGAAACTTCTGTGATCAATGATTTTTTGAAACATCTGGACCTTCGATCTCCGGATCACTGTTAGAGAAAATTCCGGAAATCCGGATTTTTTCCGGAGCACAATCAGCCCTCATTAAGAGAAAAAAGTTTCAGTTAGATATTGCAAATTTAATGTTTGAATGCAGAAAAAATGAAAACGTTATGAAACTTTCGTCTCATTTACTAGTGATTCCTAAGATTTCAATAAAATGTTCATTTTTCTTATTTCCTATGCGCATCATTTTTAAACCTATCAATATTTTTCTTTTAAAAATATAGGTCCTGCTGTGACATTTAGCGATTGCGTCAATGAAGTACGATCATCATCCCCATATTTGGGTGAACACACAGACGAAGTACTAAAAGAGATACTTTCGTATTCCAACGAACAAATAGAGAATCTAAGAAAATCAAAAGTGGTGTTTTGAATTGAAGTAGCACCCAAGAATGTGGGCATTTTTACGAAAGTTGATGAAATTTTATTTTGAATAAATATATTTCTCTAAATGTTTTCTTTTATTATTGAATTTTAGTTCCTTTTAAGCATAAAATGCACCATCGGAGTCTTTTTTTTTAATTTTAAATCATAGTTTAAAATGCTCTCTTATTTACTCCAAAGCGTAGATTTCTATAATTTTCACTAAGTGTAATAAATATTTTATTTCCAATCTAAAGACTATTTTTAGAGTTAATGGCAATCATATTTGGAATTGTAAACGAATTCTAGTTTTTTCCTGTTTAGTAAGGGTGATAACTACCCTTGCAGATTAAGAAATTTATGATTTTCTTTATTTAATTGCCATAGCAAAATAATACACAAAAATATAAATCCATATTATTATTAGTTTTTATTTCTGAAGTTGGACGTTGTTCAGTTAAAGTCATGTTTATAGCTTCAAATGTGTTTCAGTCAGTAATAAAAAGGAAAAAAAAAAATCTTCATACAATTTTTTTTTATTATTTAAAATAAATTTCAAAAATAGTTGTACAAGAGAATAATCTTATTCACATAACAATGTTGAAATATCACATAATTCAGCTGATAATATTCTTGTTTTACAAATTCGTTAAAATAGCAATGACAGCATGCAACATGCATAAATATATGGGAAATGTTTTATGAAATTGTAAATATCACAGCGTAGCTAACAATGACTAGTATAAAACAGAAACATAATTTAACCAGTACCTTAGAGCAGACAGTACAATTCTATACAATGTACTGAAACAAGCATGTACAAAATTAATAAGAGTATTTATGAGTAATCAGCTGAACTTCACACAGTATTCTTGAACAATGCATACATAATAATTACTAATAAAGCAAAAATGACTAACATTTTTTTTTAATCAATTGATAAGTTTTACACAAGCACTTCTATATAAATGTACACTGCAATGTATAGAAGTGTTATAAACTTTTTTTCATCAGGATTGAAAGTACTAAAAGTACACTTTTAGTAACAATAATTTCTTAGACTTTTACAAAAAGTTAATATGTTTCTTTAATAGTTATAGCATATAACTAACTATTGCATCCTTCCCAGTAAATGACAAATTAAGCATAGCATCCGTGAAACAGGTTAAACAAAGGATCTTGCACAGTCATCAGATTTCGTCTTCATATCAATACAAGCATTTCTTCTGTTAAAATACAAGTAACAAAACATTTTGACAGAGATTTTTACACAATACAAAATAAATTGCTTCAATTTCATTCTCATCTAAAATTTATTGTAAAATCACTCATAAAAAATACCTATAACAAAATTTTTTCCCCACGTCTTACAGAATAACCCTATATACATAGTTGTGAATATATTGCAATTTAATCATCATAACCTAATCAAGAATTCTTATTATACAATAAAAGAAAAAAACATATTTGTTCTTTTTATAAAATGCAGTCAAAGTACTAACTTATCATTTATAAGAATTACAATGTTCTTGTAGTGAAGAAACAATATTTTTACATATTTACTTATAGATTAGCATACTTCTTTATGAAATTTAATGAAGAATGGCAGTAATAAAAATGGGAATTAGCTTTAAGTCATCCAACAGATTAATATATCTTAATCTATTGGAAGAAAGTATAGAGGATAGTTAGACAAAACCGGGTCCCAAGCAGCTACATAATTAAAAGTGAAAATTAACTTTTTTTTGTAAGTATGCCAGCTTGCCGTTTTATCCAACCTGGTCAAATAAAACAGAGCATCGATAAAAACAATAACAAAAATAAGTTTTTTTTTTTACTTAAATACACACTTATTATGACTTACAGGTGATTAATCAAGGAACGTAAGTAATTTTGAATTAATAAATTTATAATTTTTTGTAAATTAAGTTAGTTGATCAGATTTAAGAACAGGAATCCCAAATAAAACGTTGATTGTGTTTCTTTGCAATGCACTTAATCTTTAATGAACTTTATTTGTTGTTTTGTGAAAGATAATTACCCGGTCATGTATGACCCGTAAGAGAGCTCGTGACGTAGTAGGTTAATGCGTCACCCACACCTCTAGCTGGGGTTAGTGAGCTGGATCCTGACAGTCAACAAAACAACTGGGACATATATGCAGCAAGGTGCCCGTTAAATCTGTCACGACTGAAAGTCGGGCGGTTGTGGAAGTTAGAAGAGAGGGGTCAGCTCAGGCACTGTTCTCATAGTTTGACCACGGTCAAAATAACGTGGCATTCCCACAATGGTCCACACAGCGCTGAAAAATGGGGCTTAGTGTAGAACCATGGTTGTTGTATAGTGTGTGTCCAACTGATAAGGTTAAGTTTTATCAAACAACATCAGAAAAAAGATTTTTATAATGTTAAACTTGTTTAATAATTTAAAATGGTATCTAAAAGGTGTTATCAAATGTTGAACTTCAGTAAAATAAATCCTCGAACAATTCAAATATAAAGAGTAAAATAGGCAGAGTAAAAATACAGGTATTGACAAACAAATAGTATACACTGTTTCTCATAAAGTGGGTCTGCAAAGCAGTTTCATATGCAGTAATGTAGTCAGAATTGTCAGGTATCGGTACCAGCTCACCCCAACCAAAATTCAGGTTTACACATTACCAAATTAAAGAAAGAAAAAAAACTGACATAATAGAGAAACTACTAAAGAATTATCAAAGATAAATGTAGCAAGGGTAAAGTTTATATAGTTTGTCTATAGTAAGAACTCTCTTCCCCACAAACTCTAACGCTGTCTGCTGCTATGGAAACAAGAAAAGCTTATTTCAGGGAGGGGAGCTTTGATGTAGATTATAAAGGAAGTTTACCAAATTGGCAGACTGAGTGCCAGTAGGAGACTTGTTTAATCTGATTTAAGAGATTTCCTAAGATTTGCATGGATGTTCCTTTCTTTTCGGCTTCTATTTTTCAGTACCAAAAAAAAAAATTATCGAACATATTCTCACATTAAGGGTAATGAAGGTTTTTTTAATGCTAATTTTTAATTTCACACTAGTTTTTCACGATTTATTATCAATATTCACTGATTTTCAGATAGATTAATTTCTAAATCTATATATTTTTTTAAAGCAGTTCACTTCATTATAAGTTGAATTTTCTAGTAAAAGTGATTTAAAATGTGATAAAAGCTTCGTTCAAGATAGAAATAGTTCATGTTATCTATACAGGAGAAATAAAAGTTAAAGGATAAAAAATATAAAACTTTTGAAATAGTGAAAAGATAAAAAAAAGAAAGAAAATTAATAGAACACTCTGAACAATGTTTTGGACATGAATACTTTCTTTCCTCTAGGACTAACAAAATAAACCAAAGAAAAAGATTCCTTTTTTCTCGCCAAAACCAGTTCTAAAACAGTAACCTCCACACCCCTACTAGAAATAGTTATACCTTATAACCATAGTTACCGTCACGGTTCCAGACAAATGGCTAGGGCAGTTCTTACTATAGACAAACTATATGTTAACTTTTAAAAAATTCGAATAAAGAAATTCGTTTTGTTGTAAGGTAAGCAGTAATTGAATTCAATAATTTTTAAATTCATACTGAGGCATAAATATAAAAACGACAGTACCAAAACTTCACAAAAGAAAAACAAACAAGTAAATTTAAAATGAGCAATGTTTTTGTATTTCACTAGGCAAAAGATGAAAACAACTTAACTCTCTAAGTCTTTTTTAGTTAAGCCTAATGTGCCTCTGATAAAATGACTAATTTATGAGTACATATGCTATTATTGATGGTTTAAAATAAATTAATCATGTTATGCTGAGATTTGCTGAATTTGCTTTTTACTGAAAAACTAGCTACCTCTGGCAACCAGCTTTAGTCATCTTTCAAAATTATCTTATACTTTATTCAAACTTTAATGGTAAAAAAGCCAAATGCACAGCACAACTGCATTAAAATATTCCAATTCTTCAACCCTTCCTGCAATTTTAACACCTTAACTAGTTTTAAACAGTATGTAAACTAAAATTCTTCACCGTTGAATTTTTGAGGTTGCTCTTTTAAATCATTATTATCGGTACTTTCAGAAAATGTATTTATAGAACTAAAGTTATTCAAGGTGATGTTTCTTTTTCATTTTTCACTTTGAACCCGTACTACTTTATTAAAACCAATTATTATTATTAAATATGCAAAAAATGTAGCTTCTTTTCTTTTTAATTTAATGAAAAAATAAGTTTCACAAGAATATTGACCATCATACTGCAGATAGAAAAAGATTGAGTAACAATGAAAAAAAAAATTGTGATTTTTATTTTTTTTTTTTAAAGAAGCTAACAGGCAAAAAGTCACAAATTTTTCTTAACTTATACCAAAAAAGTTGTTTCTGCTTATATTTAAACGAAAATTGTCCTCATATCTTCAAAATAGTCATCTTATTAGGCTTTTTAGTCACAAATGACAACTCTGCAATTTTTGCAAAGAGTATAGATTAAATGATTGCTGTTAAACAATTAGTCATACAATGACATGAAAAAATAACTGTTAGAAAACTATGATATGGTTTAATTACATATTTTTTAAAATATATGAGTAAATGTAAATCTGAATTGCAGAGTGCAATAGTTCACCCTCTATAAGAGCATTAATAAAATCACAATTTTATATATATTCAACTAACAAACTATTGCTTTAGATAGGAAGGATAACTATATTTTTTGATATGTTATCACATTGTATATTATTAAGCATACTAATTATTTCATACATAAATATGGTTATGATATGTACGGTGTTCATTATAGCTCGTAAGTTTTTTTTATAAATATATTTCAGAATGCAACAGTTTTGTTTTCCCACATCATTTCCAACAGCTTCTGCACCAAAAGCTCATTATCAACAAAGTGTTTAAAAATACATTTACGTAAAACATTCAAAATGTAAACTTATAAAATGCTAATAAAATAGATGAATCACAAAATAAAATTGTTTTCAATCAATTCATTGAAAAAGCACAAGAAAACAGAAAAATATAGAAAGAAAATAATATTGCATGCATATATCACATAATATAAAAATTAATCATATTTTAGCAAAGCATTTTTTCGTTAATGAAGAAAAATAATAACTATAGAAAAAGATTTTAAACATAATATATATATTTAACAGTATTTATAACAATTCAAAGCTACTAAATGCCACCAAGGGCCAAGATAGGAAAATGAGAACAGACAATTTTGAATACTTTTTTGAAACTAAGTAACATGCATAGAATTTTTAACATATAAATATGGCAAAAAAAGATAGCTCTTACAAAGAGCAAGAAGAACAGCTAATTAAAATTGAATAGCAAATTTCCTTTTACGATTATCTTGAAAACATTCTAAATAAGATATGTTTTGCTTATAAGCAAGTTACTAAAGACCACTAAGGTCTAGGATAGTAAAAATGGCACAAAATGGTATTTAATCTACGTTTGAACTAGAGTAACATAAAAAAAGTGTAAAACGGCCATTTTTTTATTAAAAAAAAACAAGTCTATTAGAGGAAAAAAAAAAACAGGAATTTAAATTAAATAATATATTTAAAAAAACAAAAGTTTTACATAGCAAAACTTTTTTTACTCATGTCTGTTTTTTACACTCACCTTAAATAGTTCTTGGACTAGAAAAAATTATACTTCATATGAAGAGATAACTTTTAACCTGAAAGACATTTTATAGAAAGAAATATAATTAATTGAAAACGAAATACAAAAAATTGAGATGAAAGAAATAATTTTTCAGTCTCACCTAAGGAAAATAAAACGATGAAACATTGAATAAATAAGCATATGACGCATAATATTTCAATCATAAAATTAATATTAATGATAGTACAAGAGCTTTGTAGGCTATTTAGTCCCCAGTCCTTAAGTTGCGCCAAAATTTCATATTAATTAAAGAGAGAATTTAAAAAAAATTTTAAACATAGATTCTTAGAAATTAAATATTTTAAACATTGATATATTAACAAATTTTTTTAAATCTATTAAAAATTAGATAATAGCAAACTTTACACAATTTTATTAAAATTATTTGTAAAAAAGTGGTGTACTACATAGAAAAAAAATGTATCAGCATATAGCTTGATATGCTTTGTCGAATTTTTCCCAATTTAGTTTGTAGTGCAACAATATCAAAAATATTGATATTGTTCACCTTTGTACCTCATACCAAGTACCTTTGTATGAAACTACTCTCTTTATTTCTTATAAAAAATAAAGCATTATCCTCAAAAAATATCAGCAGGTGATAAAGATAGCACTGGACTAATAATACAGAATAGAAAGAGCTCACTTTTAAAATAAAGTTACGTTAAGTACAACAGCAATATTAGACACCACTGAAAGAATAATTGTTCTTACATTTATCTAATAGCTGAATGCATGAAAAATTCTTAATGAAATGGTGACAATTCAATCTGGTGTCTAAAATTCATCATAACAGTTTTATGTGATAATTAACTCTTTAATCTCAAAATGTGTCCCAATGGTCTTATGTGTGTTGATTGACACATTTTGCAAAAATGAGAAATGTATCAATCATACTGGGTAAATATACTACTACAGTAAAATAAACATTCTTGATGCAGTACAGTGTGAGTCAGAAGGTTAAATCTTCACAATATTGTGTTTAACAGCATAATAGTGGCAAAGTGGTCGGCATTATGCACAAGCTGTCTTTGCATCTCTGACAAATTGGTACCCATTCATCTGAAACTGGATGGGCTTCAAGCTCACACTGATGATTAAACCATAAACCTTCATAATGGCAGCCCAATGCCTAACCAATGAGCAAGCAATATACGCTTGCTGTAACAATTTATATAAAATATTTGGATTAAAATTAGCTATCTGCATTGCTTGTGAATAAAAAGTGTAGACAGCAGCACACAAGAATTTTATTGCTGGCCTAGTATGCCACAGCATTAAAACAATGAGAAAAAAGAATGATTTTAACATTATTAGAATATGCCTAACAGAGGTCTTATCAATTTCAGTCAACAATATAAAACCAGCCAGTTTTTGAAGAATTTTAGATGCAAGACTATGAAAATACTATAGTCAGTCATTTGAAAGGTTTGGCGATTTAATCTGATTAGATGGATTAATATATAAAAATTACTCAAAAGTGTGAGCGGTCGCTCAAAAGTGCAAAAACTGTTTACCAACATTTCAAAAGTGCAGATTTTAATACCACCATATAAGAGAAATAGTACTAATAAAGAAAATCTGTTCTACATTTATGTAAGTTCACAGTTAGTAGTTATGTAAGTTCACACTTAGAATATAAAGATAAAAAAAAAAAAGAATTGATAGGTACAAAAGCATGCCTAAACCACGATTTCGAAAAAAAAATTATTACAAAAATATAAGAAATCAACGTTTTGTATTTAACTTCATAAAATATTTTAAGTGAAAAGACATTAACTACTTTTAATAAGGAACCTTGAATTAAAAATAAATAAGCAGAACGTTAAAATGAACAACATTTTTCTAGAATTTGCCAACAAGAAGTAACTTAAAAACAGGACAAAATAGTAACCAGAAAGTAATGTATTGATTAAAAAGTATTTACAAAAAGTATATAAATCTTAGGTTTAGAATACACAGAAAAACTGCATTATCACAATAAAATATACATGAAGTTATTCAAACAAATATATATACACATAAAATGCAAATCAAATTTAAGTGCAAGTGCGATTTATACTATATGCATTTGTAAAATAAACTAGTTAATGATTACACATTATATTGTTATAAACATAAGTAAAGTTTGGTATGCAATTTAATATTCTACATTTATTCTAAGGTTCTTAGATAATTGATTAGAATCATTTTTCTTTTTTTAGAACCAAACCGTCATTGTAAAATTATACTCCAAAATTTTTTGAGAAATAATTAATTTGAAAGAAAATAAAAAATACCCAAATAAATTAAACATTATCATTAGCTAAAAAATTATTAAAAATTCTAACAAAATTTTCAGTAAAAAAAAAAGTGCTCAGAAGATTCATTAAATTTCTCATAAAAATATAGTAACTATATGCTTATCATAATATAATGAAATCATATATCAATAGGTTTGGTTAATACATGCATTAATAAGATTTTCTTAACTCCAAAACGGCACACTGAAACAGAACTTTTTTTAGAACAATAATAACTAACCGTGACTACTGAACTTATTTGACTATTTTGATTGGCATTAGCAGTATTTGCAATTTTTTAAATTTACAATTGCAGCAGTTTTGATTTGCAAATTTATAAATTTCAACTAAAAGAATAATAATAATAAAAACAGATTAGAAATAAAAAATGAAACTTACCATTTTAACATGGTGAAGGCTATAATTTTTACAACTCAATTCCTAAATCTATAATAAAAGCCTATTTTTTTAAAAATTTGATTACCAAGAGGTTGAAATATTGAAAATATATAATTTCCAAATTACATTAAATTGAAGTTTCATCATCTTAAACGTTTATCAATTTTTTATCTTCCTCAAACAGAGAATAATGAAAAGATAATTATAATTATTTTACATTTGATTGTTTTCTAATATTTTCTGGTAAAAATTGAGAAAGAAAACCCACATTTAATAATCTACTTTATCTGGAAAAAATTATCTAGATTAGGGGTTCTCAATTCCTAACCTGTATTTCCCTGTCAATAATTGTAAAAAAGAATTGCCAGAGGCAACGGACTACAGATTTTTTTGAAAAAAAAGTCTGAAGTCAAAATAAAGTTAATTGAATCTTCATTACCTATTGGACTTACTCAATTATAAGTTAATCAATACCTCAAACAGGTCACAGTAAAAGGCCTAAAATACAAATATTCATCTGTTAAAATAGTGATCCTGGTTTGATAAATAATATTTTGCATTGTCCTTACAAAATCAAAAATATCAGATTCCCTTAATACCAGCTTGTGTAAAATAATATACATAAATTTTTTTTACACATTAATATTGGATATCAAAAATAATTATTGACAATAACTTCTAAGTCATAACTGTATGGTTACACAGATCAAAATTGCTTTAACAAAAAAATTTTTTTTTGTACTGTTTAATTTTTTAAAAAATTTACTTCAGTACAGAACCCGTTATCCGGAAATCAGAAAACCGGAACGATAAATTTTCCCGCAATTTTTTTTTTCCTCATAAGATTTTTCTTTCTTTTTTGAAAGATGTTTACCTTACCATCATTTCAGAAATAATCATTAGTGTATTACCTCATCGTTTTTTCTTATTTTTAAGATTATTTCCAAACAATTTTTTTTTTTAGTTGGGTTTAACACTAAAAAAAATTGCTTTTTGTAGCGATTCAGAAAACTGGAAAAATCAGTTATCCAGAATAGCGATAGTCCTGATCGTTCTGGATAATCGGTTCTCTACTGTATTTACCTTTAGAATCATTACTTTTCGATTGCTTATATCTTTGATTATTGAGCTCCTGAGCAGAATTTTACTGAAATTTCTCTACCAAGCACTACTTTTCAATTTGATAACACGTGGAACTGGTTTTGCTTGCATGAAAGCTAGCAGCTTAAAATTAGGAAAAAGCAAGGCTCAAAGAGTTAAATGCCCCTTAAAAATAAATTTACTATTATTAAATAAACAAACCATTTATCACATATTTACAGAATTTTAACATAAGATTGAGAACCACGAATTTGGATTTTAAAAGAAAAATTTAGTTATTTTTTTCATATATAAAAAAAAAAAAATTATAAAGAAATATTTTAATTTTTAAGAACTGCTTCAAATTGAGCTGATTGAAAATAATGGAATTATTTAATAACCTGTCAATTATCAGTTCAATTTTCCCGAAAACGTAAAATGAAGTTGTAGCATTATAAAATCAAAATAACAGTGAAAACTGTTATCTATCAAAAATTGTTTCCCTAAAATCAGCCAGGACTTGCTCCAAAGGGAACAAAATGATGCAAATTTGGGGTAGCATAATTGACATAGCTGCTAAACACAGTTCCCTTATAAAAATCTACCCCTAATTCAAAGACATTTTCATATGACTTGTTTCATGTCTGATAAGTATTTATAACAAAATAATAAAAAAATGTTTGTTAAAAGTTTGGATGAAATGACAGCTATGAAAATTATGCCAAATAAAAGCCACGAACCTTACAGCTGAAATAAATATTTACTTTAGAGTGTAACACCAAGAAATTATTTAAAATGCATTTTTTTTTTTTAAAGTTTGGATATAAATAATTCCTTAAAACTGAAAAATACCATCAATAAACACTGAAATAAGCTCCAACAATGACAGACTTTGTTACAACTTTAGTTGTTGGTGAAAATGGAAATATACTAAACTGTTTCAGAAGTATTTTTGTTTTTTAACTTATTCAAGCATACATACAATAAATAGCAATAGATTGAACGTCACTCACATATGTTGCTTACTTGGATTTTGCCTTGTTTTTCTTTTTCAACACCAGTATGGTATACATGTATAACCATATGGTATATATAAGTAATTTAAAGCAATCAAATGCAAAGGGTATGCGTGTATGCATACATATATAAAAACTAATCTGCAATATATTTTCAGCTTTGAAATGTTAGCAAATATCATGCTACAATCTGCTTTCAGTTGGATCCCTTTTTTCCAAGTTGATTCTGAAGGACACACTTTGCATTAGACTACTTTAAATACTTATTTTTAAATTAAGAGATTTCAATTAAAATTTTCAATCAGTATTACATATTGAAGCATTAAATTTAGGTATTATTTAAACAGAATAATATAAACGAAATATAAATCCAAATATATGTAGAAACATGGCTTGTTGCTGTTCTTGACCCAAACAAAAATATAGATGAATTGAACAGCTTAACTTAGCATAGGAAGATAAGCTACTCTACATATGCTAGGCTTTAATTAATAATTTAAGTTAGCTCTGTGAAATGGAGCACAATAACTTTCAAGGTAACCCATCTACGTAAAAGCAGTCAATTTCAATAACTACTTAAATTTCATTTTCATTGTGTATTTAAAAATGTAAAGCAGTTACCTTACGTAAATTAATGCGCTATTATTGCTCTAACAGTTACTAAAAACAAATATTTCCTAATTAAGCTCCATTAATTTCGATAAGTTTATTCCTAAAAACTAAAATTTTGTTTTTTTTTTGACTTCACTTTCATTTAAATAAATAAAAGTTACCTTTGTAACCGTGCATATAGTGTTATGAACTAGAAAATCAGTTTTGAATCTTTAGATATATGCTAAACGATATTGCGAAGAAGTTTTGATCTTAAATCTTCTAAATGATATATCTATTAATATTTAATAACCTCAAGAAATTTTAAAAATTGTAAAAAATTTGTTATTTAAAAACACTAAAAAAGTTAAGATTCCAACTACATGAAAAAAAAAGAAGCAATATTTCATAGATTTCTTTTAAACCTTTAACAGAAGAGTTAAAAAAAAGAAGAGAATTAATGCTTCTCCTTGATTAATACATTTGTATAGAACTAAAATAATCCAAAAATAATAATTAAAGTCCTATTTTCAAGGGGAAAAATGTGTAAATATAATACTGACAAATACCTTAGCGCAAACTTCAAGTCAGTTCAAGGTATAGCATGGGCACTTATTTTTAAAAACCAACCATTATTTTCCCAAAATAAACAAGAACCTTTACAGTTAGACTGATGGTCAAAAACATATATTATACATATACATATTTAAAAATCAAAAATACTTCATAGCATCAATCTAGTATACTTTACAATCACTAATAATGCAGTATGAAAATCCAGATATTATTATTTGATAAAACTGTTTCCAAGAAAACATTTTTATTGTAAACCAGCCAATCAAATCAAATTTATTTATTCCTATTAACATATGCAATTTTGAAAACTCTGAGTATCATTATTTCTGATGAAATTCTTACTTTAAAATATAAGCAAGTTAAAACAAATAAGAAACCTGCAAATGTATGCAATTGTAAGAGAGAAAAAACATTTAAAATAATAAAAGGGAGAAAAATTCTCCTTCATAGAATAAGAATTAGCTGAAAAGCTATTCTTAGATTCGCTTAATCTCATTAGTAGCTTATCCACCCAATCTATATTCTTATCAATGTGAGATGTCTATCAATCTAATAAGTGTAATTACAATACAAAACATATTTAATAAAAAATTTATAAGTATTTTTTGTAAGTTAAAGTAAAATTAAGGTGCTTTTATTAGTAATTTTATTTCTAATATATTCATTAACGTAATAACAACCTAACATATTTATTAATGCATCTGACAGATTAAATCTTATGGTCAAAAAAATTAGTAACTAGTCTTCAAATGTGAGTAAAAGATCATTTCTATCAAGTAATGTAATACATAATTACGCCTGGTTTAGTATTGCAATTCGAAGACTCCAGTTACATAAAAAAGGTTTGTCCCAATTTGTTTGAATATGTAAAGTTGAACTATACATTTCCAGGGTCTAATTTAAAGAAATTAAAATTTTTTAAAAAAATTAACTGCTAAAAATAAAATAAAAATGCTAATATGTATTATATTTTTCTATACAAATGACCAGATTTTTAAAATTAAAAATTATATTCATAAAATGCAAAAAGATCCAATATGCAATCCAAAACAGAATTTCTGAAACTAGAATAGCAATAAATATATCAAAATATTTGTAGAACATGCTGAGTAACACAGATACTTAATACAAATAGCATTAAAATTTTAAATTAAGAAGAATAGTTACACAAATGAGTGACACATTTTGAAAAATTTCTAAATGTTTATAATTAAATTAAAAAGATTTATTTAAACTTATATTCAATTTCGTCCTAAACGATGCTATCCACCGACAGGTATAACTTTAAAAGGCTAATTCTGATGGATGTAAAATTTCTATATTTCTGAATCTAAATTTCTGAAAATTTCATAAATAATTATTTCTTCCTACATAGGTATATAATTGTATATTATTTTAAGAATGCTTATGGAAGTAAAATTTTTTAATAGTTATAAATTCTAAGATTAATACAATTGAAAAAGTTTTTTTACAGGGGAAAAAACCTTAATGTTAAGCAACATAAGTTAAAGGAAAATAACTAAAATTTAATCTTCAATTAACTTTCATCTGTTTTCCAAATAACTAACAAAATCAATAAAAACCAAATTAAGGAAAAAATAAATACTCTTCATAGATATATTAAAACAAGTCACCTAGTAAAATTTGTTGTTTAATGTTTGAAATAAATACCTTCATTTTACAGTACTGATGCAATAAAAGAAAACAAAAAACCAGTATAAATTAAATAATAATTCCATACATCAATAATTAAATGTAAGAGATGAATCAATAAATGAGAAACTACAAAATCCCACCTACAAGATTTGTTACTACTGTATTTGCTGAAAATGATAAATCAGTATACAGTCACTAAATTCATTGCATAAAAATTTGAAACAATGTTGTTTATAAGGCTACATGCTATGCAAACTATGTTAAATATTACTGAACAGTCTTTAAGAGTGAACTATTAAATTTTTGTTACTTTTACTAGTTCTATTAATTAAAATAGATGTCGGATCTAAAATCTAAATTTTTCGATTTTTTAAAATTGATTATTTAAAATCTGCATTTGCATTCGCTGAAACTGGGAGGTTATAAATCAGGACAAAATATTTTTCATCAGGAAAACCAGGCCAACCACAAACCCTAAATAAATTACCATAAAAAATGGCTTTTAGTTACGTAAACAAATAAAAACCATATGGTCCAACCATCAAGAGAAAAAAATCTTGCCTTTCGACATGTTAATGTCAATCATCATGACTGTTGTTATTAGTATACCTAGTATTACTGCAATGTTATAGGAAGTTAGACTGAATTATAATAAAAGATTACACCCCAACAGTTCAATGGTTATTTTCTTCTTGTGAAAAGTTAAGAAAAAAAAATTAGACAAATAGAAAGTTATTGGACGATGCAATATAAAAATTTTAGAACAATAAACAACAAGAATTGCTAAGTGACATTTTTATAACATTCTTCATAAGTACTTAAAAGTAAATTAATTAATTTAATACAGCAAATACTTTTATTCTAAGAAAAAAATTATTTCATATAAGGCAGTTGAACATCATATTATACTAACATAGATTACTATTAGTGTCAGAAACTCTGTTTTAAAAATAAATAAATTAGACCTGATGTAGGGCAGCTAAAACAGTTCGATTGATGAAGTAAAAAAATAAATATTAATCATGAGCTAAAACACAAGTTATTAGATAATTAAGTTTAAAGGTCTTAAACTTATCATACAAGCTAAATTTTTGTTTTGTTAAAATACAATCTTCAGTCCTTCAATGAATTAAAGACTGAATTTAAAACATTAAAAATATTTTGACAACATAAAAGTAAAGATACTTAACTCTCTTTGTGCTGAAATATGCATCAGCACAATATTTTAGTATTATAAAAAATTAAATAGATATTTGTAAGTCAAGCACAACAAAAGCAAATAAGATGAATTACATTAAATAATAATAAATATTGAGTTTACACAGAACAAAATATATTTCTATAATTCTTTAATTTTTGAATCAGAATACAACTATTCAGAGCTTCATCTTAGATGCATTTAAATTCACAAAACAAAAGTCGATTGAAATTTTTGTTACATTTATCATTTCATACAAAATAAAATATAATATAGTAATAACATAAGGAAAGGCTATATTATAACATCAATTAAATTAAATAGAACACATTCATGGGAATTCAACATTCCATGATAATAGAAAGCAATGTGACTGAAGAAATGACAATGTATATTCAAAGTTGATACATTTTTTAAATAGTATAAGTCAAAGATGAATTAATTTGCGATGTTGCAGGTAAACTGCATATAATTGTAAATATTTTAGAAAAATGATCGTCGAATGCACAGTTTTAAATAAATTGACAATATATCTCTCTTTTTAAAAAAAATAAATAGAAAATAAACAGCTAAGTAATTTAAAACTTAAATTTTTAAGAGTCAACTAGCAAATTAGTAATACTTTATTTAAATTAAATAAAATAACCCAGTTAAAACTCTTTGAACTTATCAACATGGACGAAAAAAGAAACAAAATCTAAAAGAAAATTTACAATCACTATGAAGATAATTTAGAAGCCCTAAAATTTTAACTTTTCCAAAACCACCAAAGAGAAATTTATCAGTTTAATATAGACTGACAAACAAATGAATCAGAACTGAAAATGAATAGAAAGAAAAATAGGCTTAAATAAAAAGCAGACAGAATTAACAATCACTATTAAAAATATTTTGCACAAAGAAAACAGAATTTCACTGTTCTCAATCAACACTGTTCACAAATGAAGGAGAAGTCAAATTAAAATTTTGAATAAGTACAAAATTAGCTGCAAAAATAAATAACTGAAGAATCAGATCAAATCTACCTAAATTAAATGCTACATTTCCCTATATTGGTAAAAGAAATGGAATTTAATTCATATAGTAGCTAATTATTATCCGATAGTACAAAAGTATGAACGTGGTCTTTTTAATAATAATAAAAAAATTACAATCAATTACAAAAAATTGTTTTCACTCAATTGAATTTTAATAGAAACTGAGTAAAGTGAATTTACCAGTGTAAAGACACCAAGTAAGAAATCTTAAATTTTACAGAACATGAAAGTTTAATAATAATATCTCAAGAAAAAATAACCATAAAAAAATAAAACAAGACCAATGAAAAAGAACCAGAAAGATAAAACTAACTTAAAGTGCAAAAAATAATATATAGTATTGTGAGCACTATTGAATCACAATATTTTAGCTAACATACATTCCATTATTTAATTGTCTTTCCTTTATGCAAAGAACCACTTTCTTTGGATTAATAAATAAGGAAACTGTCAGCAAAACAGCTTTATGCATTATGTCAAATAGCAAGAAATGATGTATACTGATGTTCAGATAAATGATGTATCTGCAAAAGCACTCAGAGGATGTTAATTATGTTAAAATTCGGTAACATTTTGAAAAGAAGAAAAAAACTATGGAGGAAGAAAATGAATAATTCAAGAAAATTTGCTTGTTACATATATTATTTTTTTTTAAAAATAAAAACTAACATAGGTGATCACTTACTGGAAAAATAAATTACAAACTGAATACAAAACATTTATAAAAAGAAAAATCTATCGGCTAACACAAACGGATTGCATAAAATATCCCGATAGTCTTCTCCCAGAAAAAAAAGCAAAAAATGCTTCTTATTAGGTTTAAATGAGTCTTTCAATGAAGAAATAGATTAGCTACACGTTAAATGCACTCAACAAAAGAGAATGACTGAACAAATTAAAAAAAAAATCCAAGTAAAAATGTGATAGAATTTTTTTTGTCAGCATTTGTTAAATATATAATTTTATACACTGATTCATCCCTCGCAAACTGAAAATCTAAAAGCTGATGTAAGGACAGACAGAAAAGCAATAAAGATAAAATACAAAATTTTTTCTTCATACACAACAGCTTAAGATTAATTAAAAAAAATGTTTAAATGATTTAAAAAAAATCAAAGATTTCTTTTAAAAAGAAATTTGCTTGTATGATTACAATAATAAACTACAGAAGTAACAAGGATGAGTTTTCAAAATTTTCAGAATCATGAAATATAAAATTCAGACACAGGCAAATGAATAAAAACATGCATTTTTACTTTAATGCATAGAAACTCAACAATTCACTTACATTTATATTTGAACACATTACCTGTTTGCAAAACAGCTAAAATACAAATAGCATTGTACAAAACTACAAAAACTATATCAGCCACATTGCTTTTGATTTGGAGGTAAAATAGCTTAAATAAAGCTATATGAATAATAGCAATTTTTCGAAAAAATGTATTATGAGAAAAAACAAGCAATTAATATAAAAAAGTCCTAATTATATCTTCTTTCTTCAAGTTTTGGAATAGTTCACTTTAAGAATCACCAAAATAACTTCAGTAATTAGGGGAGTAGAGACACCTGAATCATAGCAAGGTCCAGCATGTATCTGCATAAAAGGTTTTATGATTTAAATTAGTGAAGAACAATGAAGTGATACTGAAGAGAAAATGAGTATTTACAATTGAGATATTGGATATTAGATATTACTTGAGATATTGAGATTTAAAAATTATGGTTCCAATTTTTATTTAAATTTGTCATTCTAAAAGAATTTTTTAAAATTTTTAATCAGATACTTAAAACAATAGAATTTATTTTTTACTCCATACCTTTGATATTTCTTCTGAAAGCTCAGAGCTTGTTGTGCTTCTTTAAATTTTATAACAGCTTTTCTTTCATTTTTCACTAAGTTAATATTCTGAAAAATAAGTAAAGATTTACTTGAAAGAAAAAAATGCACACATAAATAAAAGGCCATATTCTAAAATATGTATCATTAAACTAACATATTACAGGTAATGTGCAAGCATAACATGTCATACATACAACTTAAGCTGTAAAAAAGACAACAAATGCATTATAAATGCATAATAATTTAATTTTACTAAAAACAAAAGCAGGTACAAAAAATAGTGTTATAAAAAATTAGTTAAAAACGATAAGTGTAGCTGACCAAAAGATAAAACTTAAATTTTTTTTTTTTTTCAGAAATGAAAAATTTTACTGTCATGTTTAAAAATTGTGTTGAATATCCTAAATCAAATTCGAAAAAACAACTAATGAAAACAATGTTTTTGTATAACTAAATACCACCATTCAGAAGTTGATGTCAGGTGCAGAATACTGCTGAGAAAAAAAATACAAGAAGCTATTTAGAGTGATTGATGAAGTAGAGATGTTTTAGTAAGTTCTTTTGAACTATTGCCATCATAAAATGCATAAAAAAATATCTATTTATTTATTCAGCTAGATAATTTAGCTTATTAGGTTTTTAGTCTAAATTAACTAGATTCTAAGTATTTTTTCAAGAACAATTTAATTTAGCCTCTTGAATTTTTGTCTGTTTCCATATCTAGTAATAGACAAGACACAACATCATAAAATATAAACGGTTTTCTTTTAAAAATTCAAAATTATACAATATTAATAATGTTAAAATTACGCAGGAAAAATAAGAGGTAATACAGTAAAAGACATGACAATTTTCATCAGACTTTCCTGGCAAGAATATCAACGAATTATGAAATACAGATAGTACAGAATAATTAATTCAAAATTCGCTTTTCCATTTGTCTTTCAGAACATAAATTTGCAAGTTTTAGAACTTAACAAATATGTTTTAAATCTATTTTTAATATATAGTTAAAAATACAATTTTAGATAACTCTTTATTAAATAAATTCAAATTCTGAAAAAAATATTGTTGAATAATACTTCGCTGAAAGTGCCGAATATTCGTTACTTCTCTAGTATTTATCAAGATTCAAATCGATATCTTTTCTAGTGAAGGTTTAAAATCTCATTCCTTTTTTTCTGTATCACGAACTATTTCAAAGTCGAATTCCAAGTTCCTATCTCCATGATTTAATAAAATGTAAAATAATAGAATAAACTTAAACATGCCAAATTTAGGTTTAAATATTTTAAAGTTAATAGTGAAGAAAACTATTCAAAATATTTAAAAAAAATATATATATATAGATACATATACAGAGACATTCAAAAGTCTCCGGCTACCGGAAAGTATACATTAATTTCTTTCAGCTTTTTATACAAGCAACTATAAAAAAATACATATATTGTTTAAAAAATGCAAATAGAAACTGTGCTGTATTAAAAGACAAATAATTTTCCTCCTAATTTTTATTGCAATTAAATTAAATTTTGCAGCTGCAGATTTTTGTACACGACTGTAAATACAGTTGAAGATAGGCAAGCAGAAGGTTTAAAACAAATAAGAATAAATTGAAAAAAAAACCTTCACAACTCCAACTGCAGAGCATAATTTCCGTAACTGTCCCACATCTGTTGAGGATGATAAATTTTCAACACAAACAGTATCACTTGAAGAGTTTTCTGGTTGTGGTCCCTACAAATAAAAGTTATCAACTATGCTTTTAAAGGATGAATATAACAAAGAAAAAAAAAAGAAAAGATTTAATGCCTAAAACAAATTATTCTAAAATTATTTTGAATTGAAATTTTTACAACAAAACACTATGTGCATACATACCAATACAATATATAAATAATAGAAATTAATTAATATAAATAAGACAGAAATAACAAAAACTCAAAACTGCTAAGATTATAACAATATCACACACACTGTAATATAATGAATAAATAAAAAGAAAATTTAAAAAAAATTTGTATCTACCAGTCTAACTTTCATAAAAAAAACTTTATATGTAAAATAAGTGTTAAAAAGACAACTAACAAGATCAACATAATTTTCTTTAAAAAAAGCTTTGCACTAAAAAAACATAAATTAGTAGTCTAGTAAAAATAGCAATTTTCATTTAATAAAAAAAATATATTAAAAAAGAAATAGTCTTTGGTACAAATTTACTATCTGATTTTAATAATAATAAAAAAAAATGTAACTGTTGCAGTGATATTTTTTTTAGAAATAATTATAATAGATGTTTGATTTATTTATACTTTGTATTTTATTGGTGAATTGTTGGAATGCATTTAAAAAAAAGTTATTTCCCAAATTTTGCCCAGAATGAAAACTTAAAACTTATAAAATTTGAAACTGTTTCTTCTTTTTTTTTTTTTGAAGTTTAATACTAATCCAGTCTACGCATTTTAGGATAATACCCTATTACAGCGACCTTCATCATCAAGATTCTTTTTTACGTCAGTCTGGTGCACAAGGCTTTAAGTCTCGTCCTCCATTGTTAGCACACTTTGCAGTTGTTTATAAAATTCCTTTACAATAACTGTCAGCATTATTAGTTGGGGCATAAATGCCTGTTTACACGGTCCAATTTCTTGAATCCGAGAAATTGGACGGATTTCTCTGTCAAAGAAATTGGATGATTCGTTGACACTATCCAAGTTCTTGAATGTCGAATTTGGAACTAAATGACATAATTTGCTGTTAATGACATAATTTGGTCGAATTTGGACTAAAATATATGAAAACCCACAACAAAATGACATAATTTGCTGCCATCTTGTTGACGTCACAAAACCTAAGACGCTGATTGGTTAAGGGAGAAAAAACTTGGATGGAAAGTAGAACATGCTCTACTATCGTCCAAGAAGTTGGACCAAGTTCTTGGATGTTTGTTTACACGATCCAAGCTCAAAGCAAAACAAGTTTCCATCAATATCAATCAATCTCTGTCCAAGAAATTGGATCATCTAAACAGGCCTTAAGTTTGGATGACATTTAATTTTATACATTACAAGGACCTTACCATTATAAAAACAAATAAAGTCTCATTTGCTATTTCAAAATGTTTAGAACACACAACCAACATCATATACTACATAAATTCAAAATTTTAATTTTGTGAACACATAGAAATTTAAATGGAGTGTTACTGATATATTTAAACTGTGGGATAAAAATCTGAAAATCACATACAGTTGTTTTTCATACATTTCCCAATCTTTGTAAGAAATATACAAAAAGAAATATTTTCATGAGAATGTGAAAATATTTTTCAGATAATTACAAATTAAAACATTTTAATTGCTTCTAAAGTCAAAATTAGCTTTTATAACATCTTTCAAATAATCAATATTAATCTGCTTTAATTTAATTAGTATTTAGTCCTACTAACAACTTTTGAAATAAACTCAAAGACAAAGAGTTGTCTACAATAGTGTATAAGAGACACATTAAGTGTAATTAGTGACATCTACAATAAAACTGAATATCAAGATACATACTTTAATTCTATTTCTTACAAAAACTGGCATTTTATAGGTAAAAAATTTTTAATGGGAAAAAATACTACTTTCAGTTCCTTTTTAACTGCTGAAACTTCAAACAATGAACTTTAAACTAAGACTACATATTTAACAATAAATGACAATAATAACTGCTTTCATCAACAAAACTATTTATTTATAAGAAGTCAACAATCGAAGTTCAATCCAAAATACTTTAGAATTTTTAAAACTTAACTCCACACCAACTTGGCAGTTACGGAGAAAATAGAGTAAATAATGTTGCATAAATTGCTCACTGATATTTTTGCAGTTGCAACCCAAAATACTTCTTACAGAGAGAAATTATGTATATATATATTATTTTTAATCATTTCAGAATTTCAGCTAGCCATTTAAAATAATTACTCTAACACTACTCCATTTCGTTCGAACTATTATACCATATTTATTTTTACAAACCTGAAAGGCAAAGTAACAAAAGAAAAACGAATTTGGTAGATAATATTTTGACTAGATTTGCATTAATATAAGTATGTTTTATTTTTCTCCTACGTAAAAAATTAATGCTCTTGCACTAAAAAAATCATTAAAAAAATTTATGAAACATGCATCTGATGACAAGTTAAAAAATTCTGAGATTATTGTGTTATTACTTGGGTTAAAATTATTTTAAAGAAAGAGTATAAATTTTCTGAAACAACTACATCATATAATATAGCACTCATTAAAAAAAAAAATAGTACACAAGTGCATGATCTTCAATTCTTTTTTTTAAATTTGAATTGAAGATCATGCACTTGTGTACTATTTTTTTTTATTTTGAGTATTATTCTGAGTATTACTTGGGTTAAAATTATTTTAAAGAAAGAGTATAAATTTTCTGAAACAACTACATCATATAATATAGCACTCATTAAAAAAAAATAGTACACAAGTGCATGATCTTCAATTCAAATTTTAAAAAAAGTTCAGGATTGGTAAATTTAATTAATCAAGTTTTTTTCTTCCTTATATCATTATTCAAGAATTCTAAAAATTCTGAAACTACAAAACAGGTAGATTAGTTAAGATACTCAGTTAAATTTCTCAAAAATGAGCAATATTAGAATTGTTTAATAACTCGGATGAATAAAGGTAAACACTACAGATTGACAGAAAAGTGGCTAAATATAATTATATAAAAATAACATTTACTTCTTGTAAGTTTTACAAACTTAAATTAAGTGTTTCTTATAATTTTACAAACAAGAGCAACAGGCTTTACTTGACAATGCCTATTAACAAATTATTTACAAAAGTTAGTAAGTCAAGTTCACTTAAGTTTTAACACATTATTAAGCTAAGGTAATACTAAGTTTAAGCATATAAAGCTAAGTTTAGCTTAAGAAATTGAGAGCAAAAGCTACTTCGCTCATTGACACATCAACTAAATATACTTACAGATTTTGGATTTATCTGATTTGCATTTGTTTCATCAGCCACTGGGCTTTTTGCTGGCAACTTTTCATTTTTAGGGGGTTCAACTGGTTTTGGCTGTTGCTTAGTTTCACGCTGAGTAGACATTTGCTTTTGTTGAGCAGCATTAGGCCTTGAAAATCTTTGCTTTCGATTAGAGTCCTGATAAAATGGTGCTCGGTGAGGCATTGGGTTATTTGAATCAAAGAACTGTCTAGGTTGATTTACTTGGTTGTGGAAGTGGGGAGGCGGGAAGCGATCAGGAGGAAACATGTCCATTCCTCTGGGTCGGAAGTTTTGAAACCCAGGTCTTTGTGGTCTATGTCCAGGGTGAAATTGTTGATTAGGATGATCAAAATGTCCAGGAGGACCAAACTGATGATGTTCATTTGGTTGCGGACCATGAAAATCAGGATGGTTCATATCTTGGGGATGAAATCGTGGGCGGTTCATGTCACCTGGGTTTTGGGGGTGGAATGATGGTCGATTAGATTCAAATCTAAACTGATTAAAATGTGGTCGCTCCCCAGGGGGCCTAAAGGCTAGAAGCGGTGGTCTCGGTTCATGGAATGAATGAGCTGGTGGCATAGGCATTCTCATTTCATTCATTGGTGGCCCGGGAGCTGGACCCCTCATTCTTGGTTGGTCCATAAAAGGAGGAGTTGAGAACTGTGGCCCTCTAGGACCTTGGAATCGAAGAGGTGGTGGTGGCCCAGATCTTTGTTGGAAAGGTCCACGGGGATTTTTAAATTCTTTCTTTTGAAATCCAGGTCTATTTCCTAGACGTGACTGAATTGGACCTTTGCGAGTTTGCTTGATGTTGGGTTTTACAGGGTTAGAAACACTTTTCTGTTGATTTGTATTTGAAGAAGGGGAGGGTGTGATTTCTTGTTTATTCGTTCCAGTAACTTTTTTTAGAGAAATTATTTTTTTCTTTGGAGCAGCTGTTGGTGTTACATTCTTGGGTGCCGTTTGATTGGGAACATTATTGATGAGCTGTTTATTAGCAGCGACTTTGTTTTGCATAGGTACATTCTCATTACCAGTTTTCTGTGTCTTTAAAACAGCCTGTAATGAAGAAATATTAATACATAATTCATGAAATTGGTAAAAGTTAATTACACACTAATGTAAGACAGTAAAAGTGAGGCAGTTTTATTTCAATACAAAATAAATAAATAATTTGCAGTTGTTTGCAAGGGCAACTAGCTGACTTGCAGAGTTAAAATATGCTTAATTTTCAAAGAGTTTTTATTTTGATCAGTTTAGGAGCTTTTTGTGACTTAGACATGAAAAAATAGGCACATAAGGGACAAAAAATTAAAAAAGAAAAGAAAACTTAAAAACAGGTGACTTTCTTAAATTTTTTACAAAAACAATTAAATCATTTGTTACAAAAAAGTAAATTTTTATATTAAAAGAAAACAGCAGGAAAAAGAAAAATTTTAAATATATATAAATGTTTAAAAAAATAGGTTAAAAACTAGAAGAACAAGAGAAGATTTTTTCTTTGTATTTTTTTTAACTAGTGAGCTATTTTAAGCAGATTCATGTCATGTAAGAATATGTATAATATATTTCGTAACATTTAAAATCTAAATTATTTTCTCAATAAAAAAATAAATAAAAATCATCATATCATATAATCAGAAATTTTTTTATATTACAACATTGAATTGAGTGCAGAATAAAGTCTATTTTTAGAGACTAAATATTTTTATATAATTAAAATTAGTTATTATTTTTTGCTTTCTTTTCTGGTAAATCATTTGAATGCACAAGGGTAAGAAAAAGGGTCTTGGTAATAAATCAAAGCAATTAATGGCAAATACATGCTTTCCCTTGGCGAAAACTATTTTATTAATGTGTACATGTCATTGGCATTTTCGATTTCATGATGGATAGAGGTGTTCTCTGGAACTTGGCCCTACAGCCACCTGAGCCAGTTTCATTTAGCAACTCATATGTACATCATTAAATGAAGAATACTTCTTATATTGATTGAGCTTCACATTTTCAAAAATAAAAGATTCTTATTATTTATCATATTTGATTCTTCCTTAAAGCAGTTTATCATTTCTAATACATAGTAAAATAATTTAAAAATGTGTAAATACAAATCGAGATATTGGATTTTTAAATGGCGAGAATCTGAGTTCCAATGAACGGTTTTTAAATTGCATGAATACGAATTGCAACGTGTAACTTTTGAATCAGGTAAATACAAAAATCGATGCTTGATATTAAAACTCTGTGAATAAGAATCATAATTTTAGTGGATTCCAGTGTAGTTCCAAAAATTCTAAATGGTGAAAATCAGCCAAACTAAAAGAATCAAATTAGTGGATTTCTGTCAATTGGCAGAAGAATCACATGCATGTTTTGTTAGCCTGATTTGGCCAAAGTTAAAAAATTTGAATTTCAGAGAGCAAAATCCCGTTACAATTTCATCGGATAATAAGTTTTTGATTAACAGAAGTCCGAGAACCAAAGGTCTTCCGCTATATTCTCAGAAAAATCATATGCTCTGCTCTGAACTTTTAGACTCTGAAGAATGATTCGAAAAATCCGGAATTCCAGTGTACATTCTGCATACAATCACTCTTGATAAATACAATGCAGAGATAAATTTTTTTTTAAATGACTAAATTAAGGTACATTGTAGAATTGTAACTGTTTGTCACTCCTTGCAGGTTCATGGTTCAATTTAAACTATATAAATATTTTTTACCATTTTTGGTTCAGCAGCATTTACAGTGGGAGCAGGTTGAACCGGCTTTTTCCTCAGCACCACAATCTTCTTTTTAGCAACTGGTGTCACATTAGTCGGGGGCACTCCAATTCTTTCTTTCACACTTAGCTTTTGTTGAAAAACTAAAGAAAAAAGGATGTGATTAATCCTCAGGATTTAAAAGCTAATCCAATATTTAACAGGAATAAACAAAGTCATGTCAGATTTAGAAGAAAGATATATTACAGTTACCTCTGAAACTGGAATATAGTGAAGTTTTTAGTACAGGGCGCGTAGCCAGATTTTTCATCAAAAAATAAGCATCTTTTAAGTACTTTTTCAAAGCATGCAACAAATATTTGTAATCACTTTCCAAAGAAAAAAAAATCATAATTAGGATCTGTGCAGTAATAAAAATTATTTTTTTCTACTTATTTTATTCTTGTTGGCATCACTACCACCTATATAGAAGAAGGAAAATAATTTCTACCAACTTTCAGTTCGGGAGTGAAATAAGTATTCAATATTCAGAACTTTTATTTTCTCTTCGATAAAAGGAGGTTAAGAAAGAGCTCGTTTTTTAACTAATTGTTGATACGAGAATCGGTAAACTCTACTTAAAATTAAAATTTAACCAATCAAAAATTATTAATTTCATCTGTAGAATGTTAATAATTTTGATAAATTAATTTATTATTTTAAAATTTGATTCAATATTAATTAAATCAGCAGATCTGTATAATATACAGGAAATATGTAACCAGTGGGGAAATTGTTTTAACTATTACTAAAAAAAAAAACAAATCTCTCGAAAGAAAGCTTGTCTTGTACGAATTTTAGAGAAAATTCTCTTTACTTTTTCTTGAAAATACCGTAATTGGAAAACTGAGATGTTCAGCTTTAAAATTATCTTAAGAGAATTAAGATAGATTTTTATTTTTTTCTGTATTGCTTAGCAATCTTTTGTTTTTGTAGGCATTATGATAGCATGCTATTTTTAAAAGAGTTTCTGATCTATACTTCTTTTAATGTTTTATGGTAATTTTTTTCCAGGAAAATACTATTTTTCAGCTTTGAAGTTTCGTTTCAAGAATAAAGAGGATTTCTTTTACATTTCTCTCTCTCTCTTTTTTTCTTCTTAACTTAACAATTTTGGCTTTTTTTTTTTATGATAGTTAGTTTTTTATTTATCTTAAAAATTTCTTGTGGATAATTGCTATATTTTTTCCTCATACCAATTATATAGTTAAGTTTTGGATGATTTTAAATGACTAAAATTATTTATACATAAAAAATATTTATTAATAACATTTTTCGAAAAGAAATGTTGCTATCAAATATTCAGCATTGGGATGTTTTTAGTACATGGCCAAATCAGTGTTCATTATATTACTAAAATACAACCACAGGATTCAAAATAAAATATGGCATATCGTGTTTTGCATTTTTACGATTTTATACCAAATAGCGTATTTCATTTTCACATGATTTAAAAGCCGCTATTATAATTCTTGTCAAAGTAAATTATAAATTTAAATTCGTATTCCCGCGATTTTAAAATAATGTTAATTTTATCTAAGTTTGCTAATTAGTAATAATTTATAAGCCCATTATGCACTACCATAATCACTATTTCCAAGAACACTGCCATATATGAAAGAATAATTTTTCAAAAAATTTGGGTACAGTGAAGAACTTCTCATAGTGGACTTATTGCTTAAAACTAGGGCCCTATAAATTACGTGAAGATGCGGAAACCAGCGTAATTCACAATTATCCGCATAATTTACAATTTTCCGCGTATTCGCAGCATATCTGCATAATTTTTATTTTTCAGCAACATGTATTCGTTTACCAGATAAATTTCTCCTTAAGGGTTTTTTTTTCAATTGAAATATATCTTCATTTTCAATTCCAAGAATCTTTTTGGTCAGGTGGTCAGACCTTTCCAAGAATCTGACAGAGGTGAACAAATTCACAGAAAACTTTAAGAAATTGTTCAAGCATTGTCCTGCAAGAAAGCGCCGCTATTTAAAGTTTTTAACAAATGACAATAAGAAAGTTAAAACTTTGTCCAGTACCAATAAAGACACGGTGGAATTCCTGGTTTAAATCAGTGCAATATCATGCTGAATATTGTAATGTTTACATAGAATTTTTTAGCAGTGAATTAAACCTTACTCCTGACACTGCTTGTCTCAATCAGTGCAAAGTTTTGGTGGAAAGCAAGTACGTTTGCAAAGACTTTCAGTTCAATGCAGAACACGCTCAGATATTAATGGATACTCTTCTCTTTTTCGAAACATGTGGTGTATCTATTTACAAAGCTTACAATAAGATTTTTGATCTGAGGTCTAAACTTCGATGTAATTCTCAGGCATCATACTCACGAAAAGATTCACGCAGCGTATTTCTTCAAGAAGTGTTTCACAAAACAATTGCAAAGTTAAATAATTACTACTCTCCAGAACTAGACGTATTCAAAAAACGCTGGCCCAAGTTTAGTCAACCTACATTAAACTTCATGAAAGCTGCTCGAGTTTTCGATAAAGAACAAATAGTCAACCTCAATATTGAAGACGACGATGTGTCAGACTGGACGCGACGACTGGAATTCAGAGGTAGTCTCGGGGAGATTTCCAGAACTTACAAAAAAAGCAAAGACAAGTGCTCTCAGTGCTTCCTAATTCAGTAGATTGTGAAAGAGCTGTATCCTGCTACAGTCAAATTTTTACAAAACAAAGACAGAGTTTGAAAGAAAATGCAGCTTCTGGACTAACTTCTGCATGCATAATTTTTAAAAGACGCCGCATCCTAGCTGCATAATTTTTAAAAAATTTCCGCATAATTTATAGGGCCCTACTTATAACTACATAAAGTTCATCATAACAAGGTTTAATAGTATTCAGATTTACAGGATTTTCTGCCATCGTATAAATTTACAAAAAGATTTATTTTTCAACTTAAATGTTTTTCTGTTAAAAATTTTGGAAAACAGCTGGTCAAATTTAGGATAACCTGTAAAAATTAAAATTACTCATGACTCACCAGGTTGTGGCTGTTGTCGAACAGGATTAGAGGGCTCAATTTTGGTCTGAGTTAGAGATATGACATTTTTATTTTGTGAGGCTTGTCTTTTTTTCAACTCCGTAAGTCTCTGTGCAGCCATCTGTCTGCGACGCTCTTCTTTCTGCTTCAAAATTTGTTCTCTAAGCCTTTTTTGTTCTTCGATTTTCATTCGCAATTCTTTGGTTTCTTCATCCTAAAAGATGTCAATTCAAATTTTAAATCACAAACTTTACCACCAGTCACAATAATCTAAAAATAATCTCTCTCCAACGCTATATTTGTATATATATCAGTATAGAACCTTTTACCCAATATCCCCCCCCCCAAATTTTTTTTGATGGGTTTCCCAGCCATTTTAAACCAGAACGATTGAGGCAAAATGCAGAAATTTTAGTCACCGTTGAAGCTGAGTAGAGGGAAAGGTGTGAGGTCTTTGATTTATGAGGGGGAAATGCTTTATATTTCAGGGTGAGTAGCCAGATTTTTCAACAAAAAATAAGCACCTTTTAGTATTAAAAAATATTTTTTATCACTTTCCAAAAAAAAAGTAAATTAATAATTAGGTTCTGTGCAGTAATAAAAATGTCTTCTCTACCATTTAAAGTTCTTAATTAAAAAACAAAATATCAATAAAATTCAGAAACATTGTCAATAACTTTTCATAATCAAGATAAAATAACTAGCTTTGGATAAATATTGCAGAGTAATTTAGAACGATAATCAAAATGGCAAAGAAAAAAGAAATCTTTTTAAAAGATAGAAAATTAAGCACTTTTCACAAACCCCGAAAAAAAGCACCTTTAAAATTTTTTACATATCCTGCATATGCTTATCAGTGAACAGAGGATGGAAGGGTAATAAAAAAATACATCCCTATACTTTACCATATAAATATAAAAAAATAGAAGTGGAAATACTAATTTTTAATTAGAATATGAAAATGGCTAAAACATGACTATTTTTTCATCAATAATTAAATAGAAGTATACTCATCTGCACAGTATAAAACCTTTTATGCGGTTTTCAGAAAATTGGGAAAAGCTTAGCTTGCTTTCCACGTCATTTTTAAACTAGAACAACTGAGTCATCTTTAAAGTTGAATAGATGGAAAGGCGAGGGAGGTTCTTTTTTTCCAATTGAACACAGAACAGCAGCAGACTCAGATGAAGTGAAATGAAAATAAAATCTCAAAAAACTTTTTGCAAGCAATGCTATTGACTCCTAATTCTGACAAAACTTGTTCATAAATAACTAAATTTATTAACAGTTCTTAATTTCATTAAATATTTAAATTGATTTTCAGAAAACATTTAACTCTGCAACGGAGTAGACATGCTCAATCAAATTACAAACTGAACCCCCAAAAACAGTGCTTTCTGCTCAGTAGAAAAACCAACAGCTGGACGTCCAATTTTCGATACTTGCAAACCAAATGGAATGTTGTAATCACAGGGAAAGAGCGACTGTGTAAATCAGAGTATGAAATTCTCTTCCAATCTGTCGTTGCCAGTTTAATTTCAGGGTAAAATAGAGACATTTAAATGGCATTTTTTATTCATTTTAATTATGTTTATTTATTTTCAAAATAGAAATCAGATGGAACAAATGATTTTGTTTTTTGCTTCCATGGGGAAATATCATCAAACAGAAGGGGGCAGGGAAATTTTAGAAAGCTGCATCACTATGCTTTACTATATAAATATAATTAAATAAAGTGAATTGAAAATGCAAATTTTTAATTGGAATATTAAAACACAGCTTTTTTTTATTATTATTCAATATTAAAGTAGCAATCTAGATAAGTTGTATTGAATCCTTTTTAACAATCCAGAAAGTCAGGAAATTCAGACACCTAGGATAGCGTTGGTCCTCAGCATTCTGGATAATTTGTTCCCTACTATATATATACATAAACAACAAAATGAACAGAAAATTAAAACGTATTATTTAAACACATTGAAGATCCAATTAATAAATTCTACCTCTTCTTCAACCACAGCTTTTGATTGGGAAGTTGCAGGTTTTAGAGAAGACATTGTATCAACTAATGGAATTTCCTTGATATTCGAGTTAATCATACGAGTATTCTGAAATAAAACAGAGGAAATGTGTAGAGAAATAGTTTTACAATTTTATTCATAATACAAGTAACAATAATGATAAAAATATGTATAACTGTATAAGTTTAGTTAGTAATTAATCATTAAGATAGATATATAAATTGCTTGCTAAGTAATTTTGAGTTTCAAGAAGTAATTCCTGTCTGGTCTATGGACAAGTTGGGGTTAGATTTTTTTTTTTTTAAATTTCTCATATTTATTTTACTATCAAATTTATGTTGAGGTTCAGGATATATAAATTGTTATACCCAGTTTAAAAACATTTTATCTAATACATACTTTTATTTTTATCTAAACATTTTAACTGAATTTAAGGAGTTAATCCTTGAACTGAAATTTAACTAAAAAAAGAAAAAGCTACTGAAAAACTTACTTTAAGTATTTTATGCTTTTGAATTTTACATAATAGATTATAACATTATTCACTAGTACAGAGTGCAAAAAAAAAGGAACACCCTGAATAACTTTTGATCTAGTGGTCTTATCTTCATATATTAGGTCTCAATCTAAATGGTTTGAGTGGTTAACTTCAAATATGCTTATTAATCAGTGGAGACAATTAAGTTATATAATTAAACACAAAAACACACTATCTCTGAATAAACATATGATTTTGACAGATTCAGACTTTTTACCCACAAAGCATTTTTGGAAATATGGTCGAAACAGTTTGGTCAGGAGTAATGTTAATTTTAATTGTTAATAGTTTCTGATGATTTATATTTAAATATTTGATTTTTTTAAAACTATTTAATAACTTAGAAACTGTTTGATCCATTTTGTTCAAATTAAGCATTCTGCATGTAAAATTACATTTGTTAAAATGATAAAAAAATTTGTTTATTCAAAATGAGTTTTGACTTTTAAATAAAAAATAATCATAAAAGTTTTTTTTTGCATGAAATTATCTTCAGGTATGCATATTTTATAATTAAGTGGAAAAATGTTTCAATTCATTTAAAAATTTTAGAGATATGATGAAATAAATAGGCAAAAAGTTAACATTATCTAACATTAACCTTTTAACCACTCTCCTGAACAAATCATTGGAATATTTCCAAGATTATGACACCCCAGAATCACAATACGTTAATAAAAAGTAAGTTTATTCAGAGAATGTACGTTTTTGTGGTTGATTTCATAGTTAAAAATTCTGCCTGCACCAATTCAAAATATACGGTAAGGCTATAAGATTAAGGTCTTAGAATGTGAAAATCTGATGATTTAATCATAAGTTATTCAGGGTGTTCTGCTTTTGTCTTAGTACTGCATATGAAATATACATAAAAATATTTAAGCACAACCAAAAATGTACATTGAAGCCTTCATAATATTTTTGCTGGTTAATAATGATCTCAAATTGCTAGAGGAAAAGGAGAGAATCTTCACATTGTCCTTACATATGTAAACAATATTTTCTTGAAAATCACGAATTTTTCTTATTAAGCCAAAATTTTGGTTTTAATAATTGTTTCATGAATCTTTTTCAAAATAAAACCAACTATTTATTAAAAAATTTCTCATTCCGTTATCTCTTTAAATATGGGCTTCTAAGATCAAACTTAATCAAAAAAGTAAAATAAAAATTCATAAGACTCTTAATCTGCCTTCTATCTTGTTCTATGCAAATGAACCCCGGACTCTAAATGCAGAAACATATTCTGCCGTACAATTCAAAAAGAAACGCAAGTGCTTTATAATTGATTCCGAGAAAAGTGGCTTGACAACTATTTTCCTTCTATTGCTAATAATATGGATGCTAAAATAGAATTTCAAAAAGCTGATAAAAAAATGTATTTTTGGAAATTTTTTTGTTGCAATATGTAGCTTACCAAATAAAGATGCTAAATATATAAAAAGCTCAATTTTGATTTTTTTCTGAGTTACATTGATTTTTCAATTGCACGGCAGTATTGCACTCTCTTTATTTTTGAAAGAAAAATTGTCAGCATTATTTTTGACCCTGTGCAAGAGGGAGGCTGTTGGCAAACTAGATATAACTTAAAGTTATATAGGTTTATTAGGCAGCCATAGATAACACAGGTCATCCGGAGTAATAAGTTACGGCTTGGTTATGTCTGAAGAAGTCCAGAAAGTGATGTAGCAAAAATTGCCATTTTTAGGACTGAAGAGTGGCACCCATGTAGATGACACTGTAAATGACTTAAGCATCTTGAAAGCAAGAAAACAGGAGTGGCAATAAGAAACTTTGAAAATAGTGAATAGTTGAGACAGCCAAGGCCTGTTATAAAAAAGAAATTTTTTCACTAGTCATTTGCGAGGTAAATATAAACATTGAGTAAATATTAAAAATAAATTTTTTTGGGCTTACAAATCAAAAAAATTCGCTGAAAATGATAGTTTAATTTTTCTTTACATTGCAGCTATTGTTATGGTTGACATAAATTTAACTTAAACACGAATGGTAAAATTTTTTTAAATAGTTGCAAATAATCTTTTAAAGCTAGTAACAGTTCCTTAGCAATGGTCACTAAATTTATTGAATTTTTAAAAGCATAATGTCAGAGGGGTTTAAGAAATAATAAAAAACTTTTGAAAACATGAATAAAGCGAATTAAATAAACAGAATTTAAATTGGTACATTAAAAGACAAATACCTTTCTAGCAGGTATAGAATCTGTACGAGCAATTTTCATTGGGACTTCCTTAATATTAGAATTTAAAGGCCTTTTTTCTCCTTGTCGTGGAAAACGCTGATTTTGCTGCAGACTTTGTTTCCTTTGAAACTGATTTTGACGCATCTGTTGGTTTTGCTGTAAAGGTCGTAAGTTTTGTTGCAATGGTCGTTGATTTTGCTGCAGAGGTCGATTTTGATGTAAAGTATTTTGGTGGTGTGGTTGTGAATGCTGATTTGGAGGAAAAATATTCTGCCTGAAAAAAATTATAATAATAATTCTAAATTAATTTTGGTATAACAGGCCTTTCTTCATTGTTTACACACATAAACTACATATTTAATAAGTTTTAAAAATACTAGTATTTAAATAAACACAAAACTAAAGAGGCATAATTGAAATTTGTTTATTAAACACAGTTATTGTTAAGTGCAGTCAAATCTTTTAAGCAAAGTTTAGGGAAAATTATAACTATAAAGTTTCATGTTACTTTTATCTACATTTAGTCTTTTTATTAAAAGTCTTAATTTGAACATAAGAATTTAAATACACTTCTCTCACAATTATATCTACAGATAAAACCTTCAATATCAATAAAATCTGACATTGAGAAAAAAAAAACACATAGAATAAATTATAAATAGAAAGTGAAACCTCCCAAGAGCAGGGATGCGAACTGCTCCGCTTTCAGCAAAAGTTTTAATAAATTGGTATCGAATTAGACGGTAAAACTTGTTGAATGAGGTTAATTACCCCCCCCCCCACCCCACTCTTTAAAAGTGATATCACAAGATTACTGCAATAAAGTTGCATTTTATATGATACTTTGAATTTTCGTTATGTAGTGGTGAAAAAATTATTTGAAATGAAAAATGCTAAACTAAAAATAACTTAAATTTCGTTACCACTTGAAAATATTTTTTTACAATGCGGAGCAAATTGGTTGTGCCTCCCAAAAAGGGGTCGCAAAAAGAGGTCGCTACACAGAGGTGGTCTTACCCGGAGGTTTCACTGTACTCTAAAGAGTAGATTAATAATTTACATTAAAAAATATTTTTAGCTTATAATTTCAAGGAAATAAAAAATCAAGATTCTCCCTGTAAGAAAAAAATTCATTTCATTTAGAAGAAAATGGTGAAATCTATTGTTTTGTTCATTAAACATTAAAAGCTTATGGTTAAAATTATCAATAATCAGCTTCAAAAAAATAATTGGTACTTGATAAGTAATTTAATGATAAGTTTCTAAAGAACAAATTTTATTATTTGCTCAACATCAATTTTTTCTTTAAACTTTAGCATATGTGACAGTAAAGGAAACAGTTACAAGAAATTTTTTTTTCTTAATGAATCAGAAGAAAAATAAAACACAAATTAAATTATGCTTACAAAACTAATTGAGGAATATTTTAGATTTACTATTATAATATCCATATTTATTATTTTTTTTATTTGCAATCAGACAGCACAAAAGTTGAGTAAAAAAATAAACTTTTCATTTCATTATGCTTAATAAATTATGTTTTTACTGAAACAAATAATAAAGTAGAAAATAACAGAAGATGTTACAATTATAAAAATTATTGCAAAAAATTTTACACACTAAACCATAGTACAACAAGGTATAAAGAAGAAAAAAATTATTTATAAATAGGAATTAAAAAAAAAAGATAAGTTTCGAAAAAAATTACAAGGTAAATGTGACATATAGGTTTAATTCAATATTAAGTTAGAGAAATTAAAGAAATTAGCATTAGACAGATTAACAGACAAAAATAACTTACTGATAATGAGGAGTAACTGACTGAGCCATTTTCATTTGATGATACGGTTCCTGTAGAAAAACAAATAGGGTAGAAAATAAATATAACATTTGTAAGGTGGTTCAACAGAGAGTTAGCCATCAAGAATGTACATGGACGAAGAAAAAAATAAGAGAAAATTTAATTTATTCAACAAAAATACATAATTACAAAATAACTTCTAAATTTACATAAGCAGATAAATCAATTAAATTAAAACCAAAATATAAGAATGGATGCTGAGGATATAAAACTCATCATAAAACATTATTTCAAAAATACCAATTACATAATATTTCAAAACATGCTCTATTTGTCATCCTGTTGTTTTGTATAGCACTTGACATATCTGGCCTATTATGGGATATTATTCAAATATTTATTAAGAAAGGGGGAAAATAAACCTTGTTATAAATTGTAAGCAATTCATAGTTCTCGTAAAAATATGAATACTAAGGCAAAAAAGTTAATTCACATTCTTCTTAGAAATATGAACACCATTATTTTTAGTTATAAGCTTAACGTTATTTAAATATAAGCAGGGTTGGTATTATTTCAATCATTAAAATTATGATATAAATCACCTAAATTAAAAAAATATATATATATTGATTTAAACAAATTGATTTTTTAAAAATGAATTATTCAATCAAAAATATTTTCATATAAAATTATATTTTTATTAATAAACATTATATTATATTATTATTAATTAACATTCTTTATGTTGAGACTTTTCTTTAAAATCCAATTTCATTGATAATGAAAGTTTTATCCAGGGGGAATGCATGTAAACAATATTTCAAAATAAATTAATAAAAAAAGAGAGAGAGACTAAGTGTAGCACAAAACTTTTAAAATATAAATGTCCATTAGCTGTTAGTAAAATAATAATAAACATATTTCAACTGTATTTATTCAGTTTTAAGTACAAAGTCAGGAATTTAAAAAATAAAATTTAGTGAGGCAGATAAAAGCAAGAAAAACAATCAAATAATGAAACATGCAATGTTAATATTAAAAACATTCCTGAATTTTATTTTAATTTATTAAAAAAAAAAGACTAGACAGGCTTTTGTTTGAAGAGGTTGAAATTGGTTGTAGATGTATTTTAAATGTGTCTTAGTAAAAAAATATTTTTTAATTGTCTTTTCTATTTTTCAATAGCACTAAACCATATTTTTAACTAATTCATTGATAATTATGCTAGATTAGTCCTAGACCTCCCAGTTATTCTCTGACATATATTTAAATACAAGTGCTTTTAAAACTTATATCAGTTATGTATATCAATAATGAAGAAAGATTTGTTCAACCCAGAGAATCTTAGAATAATTTTTTATCAATAATGTATTCAGATCTAAATGGAAAATTTTATATCACATTTTGTGAGATGAGCAATCAAATTACAGGAGGAAGATTTTTCAGTCACAAAGATACTCATAAAACAATGTGTGCATCTCCGAATGGATGTTTTGGAGGCCAGATTGAACACATAGCAATCAATGGTAAATACAAGAGGTCACTCGCTGATGTCAGAGTAAAAAGAGGGACCTTTTTCTGAGTGGAAGCATAAAACAAAAGCTATATAAAAATACAGGGCTTAAAAAAAGTAAGGTATAATATAAAGAAACTTAAGACACCAGGAAATTAAGCAAACTATAACCATCAAACTGATTGGAAAGATTTTATACACAGAGTACAGAAACAGGGTGCGTAGCCAAATCTTTTAACAAAAAATAAGCACCTTTTTTAAGTACTTCTTAAGCCCTCAAAGAATATTTTTAAGCACTATATACATTAACAAAATACAAACTAAGACTTTACACGATCATGATAAATCAACTATTTTCCGACAAATAATTCTTTTCTTGAATATATTAGCTACCATAAAAAGATTTTTCGGTTCGATCTCAGAGGGTGGAAAATGAAGCCTGAAACTGAGAATATCTTGCAAAATACAGCAGAGTTGCACATGAGAGAGCTAGAATCTCGCCGAACTCAGCTGAGTAGACGCACATGCAGACTCTTAAGTATTTCATCAAACATGTATAATCAATCATTGGCGCTTTCATACACTGTGGAGGCCGAAATGGATTGCAGTTGAATGAATTGTGAAAATGTTGAACAGGACAATGTGAAAAGTATGCTTTTGCATAATACAGGGGTAATTGTGAGCCCAAATCAAAATTCCGGAAAATTTCTTGAGTTAAAAAAAACAGTTTAAATTGAAAAATTAGAAAAACATTTAAACAAGATTTTTTTCCTTTTTCTCAATATTTCTTAGTTTACTTAAAATATATTTAAAATTTTACACATACCTATACCATTTACACATACCTATGATGACCTGGAGAAGTAATTAAAATTTACAAATATGTCTTTCTTTCTTGAGTTTATGATTATAAAAACTACTTACTGATAAAAAATGAATATTAATCATGGATATAAGCTTATAAAGTATCTCTCTAGCTCTCCCTTACAAACAAATAAAATAAACTGAGTTTTTAAGTTCCACCTTTGAAAATTTGATTTCCGGAAACTTCCGGGATCAATGATTTTTTGAAACGCCTGGATCTTCGATCTCTGGAAACTTCCGGATCACTGTTAGNAAGTTCCACCTTTGAAAATTTGATTTCCGGAAACTTCCGTGATCAATGATTTTTTTAAACGCCTGGACCTTCGATCTCTGGAAACTTCCGGATCACTGTCAGCAAAAATTCCGGAAATCCGGATTTTTCCGGAGCACAATCAGCCCTGATAATACGTGGAGAAAATCAACATGGTAAAGAAAAAATTTAATTTTCAAAAGGAGAAAATTAAGCACTTTTTAAAAACACCCGATGAAAAAAGCACCTTTAAGGGCTTATAAAAAAAAAATTGGAAATAAGCACTTTTTAAACATTCTATGTACCATAAGAAATGATGTAGTGATAATATTTCAGTCATTTTTTTTTTTATTACCATTGGGGAAAGAAATTTTCTTGGTTTGGTGTCAATACATTTATGCATTAATATATAAACACATGCATTGCTGTTTTATATAATATAGAGTATAAATACCTGACTAGGTTGGGTGTTATGATATCCAGGATGGGGGATGCTCGTTTGTACAGAGCTGACTGGAGGAGAAGTATATGTTGGTGGCTGCATGTGGAAAGGTAGTGGAGGTTGATTGTAAGAAACACCTTGAGGAATAGGAACTGGAGGAGGAGGCGCTTGGAAATTTGGATTTTGAAAGTTGTTTGAATTGTAATTGTTCTGGTAACTAGGAGGAGGTTGAGCTATTGAAAATAAAGAGTCAAAACAATAAAAATTCACTTAATTTTCTGCATGAATTAGCAAGTGAACACATTTTAAAAAAATACTTTAAAAAAATTGTAAAATTATAAGCACATAGTTAACTTAAAGGTAAGAAAAATCATGAGTAAAAAAGCATTTTTATAAAAAGCTTTGAAAAGCATGTATAACTAACTACTCAATAGATAAACGAAGGTCTCTTACAGAGAGATAATTCTATAAGATAATCTTTGAGATTCATATATGACATAAATTTTAAATAAGTTCTAAAAATCAGCATCTTTGATAGATGAATGATTAGAATATGTTAAAAATAATAATAAGTTGAACACGCGATGATGAGAGGATAGACGGAAGAAAAAAAAAGTGCTCAAGTGAACTGCCCTAATTAATGATAAAGTTGCCCTGACTTTTAAAAGGCTATAATGGATTTTAACTCTTATAACAACTTTATTTATGATGAAAAGTATCTTAATATGATGAAAAGTATCTAAAAAAAAAAAAACTATGACTAGGCATCGTAATGTCTTTAATTTATTTTATTTATATTGAAAATTTTCTTCGGTTGGAACAGAAATCTTATAAGCAGTTAAAAATTTTGTTTTTGTGCCATGTAAAGTTGAAACTGATACATTTGAACTCATTTTTTAAATTTTCAAATTTTGTAGATTTGTCATGGTAGTCGTTAAATATTTTTAAAAGCACCTTTTTTTAAAAAGAATTGTTCCCTTGTGGGAAGTAATAAAGAAGTAATCTTTGTCAATCACTTTAAAAACTTGTTTAGTTGGTTTGGACAATGAATTTTGCTTTCTTTAGTTGAGGTAATGAAAGGAAGTTGGCATTTGTTTATTAGAGAGATATTGCCTATAAGAGAGATATGTTGTTTTGTTAATAGAGGTCTTTTTGACATCCCGGTAAAATATTACTCAATGAGGACCTGTAAAGTAATGAGTGTGTGAGATAAGATCTAGGAATGCCAGGGTTGGGTTTTTGACGTCAAAAAGTGGTTTTTGACATGACAAGGGTATAATACTNAAATCTCTGAATAATGCAGACATCAACCGCTCTGCTTTCTGCAATTATAGTGAACTCACAATTATAACTTCCAGAATAAGGATAATTATGCTCACTCTTTATAAGAGTAACCACGAAATAAATGTAATAAAGTTGCATTTAATAAGATACTTCAAATTTTTAATATGTAGTGGTGGAAAAAATACTTAGAATGAAAAATACTAAACCAGAAATAAATTTCGCCACAACAAGAAAATATTTTTTTTACAAAGTGGAGCAAGTTGGCATCTCTGATAATGCTGCTGAAGGCATTTTGACGCATGTACTGACATTATTAATTAACATAAAAAGATGTGTCGAAAATCCAAGTCTCTCAATTCTTCAAACAAGTTATTTTTCAAAATTCTTTTTTGTATTTGAATAAAATGGCATGTTCTGAACACGCCAGGAATGAGAATGGAAAACGAACAAAAGTCTTAAAATACCTATTAACTATAATCATGAAAAAATAAATAGAACAATATGTGAGACAATTTTGCACAAAAAGAAAACATTTAAATTAGTTACATATTAATTTGAAGTTGGATTTACAATATGAGTACATAGACAATTAATTTAATGCAGAAGTATCAAACTTTATGTTTACAAAATGCGGTTTCCAACAAAGTTATAACCTTTGTTTATAGTGTCAGTAAGATCTATAACAGAAAGATTTTTAACAGTAGATTGTACATACCTAAACACAAAGCTGAAGTTCAAAAAATATACCAAAGCTTTAGAGATGTCAATAGTCATGCATAGATGTCAATAGTTGGTTAAAATGTATACTTACATGCATAATTCATAACAGGTGGAGGTGGAGCAGAATATGAAACAGGAGGTGGCATATCTGGTGGTGGTTGTGTTTGCCATACAACAGGAGAATGTGATGGCGGAGCCTAAAACATATTATTATGAGATTGAAAAAAGACAATATAATTATTTATTACATATGGCCAAAGCATTAAATCAGCCTATAAATTACTTGCTAATAAAATAAAAATATTTTTATCTTTTAGACTAAACAAATTTATTCTTACTTACTAAGTGAAATAGTATATTAATCAAAATTGAAACTGATTATTATTTTAAACAAAATCCGAGAGCAATACAGATCATTTTTTAACTACCATTTATGGGCATCTTCATAAAATTCCAAGTATCAACACTAGTATTTCAGACGAAAATATTTTCTTTCGCAAAAATTTAGATTGTGACACAGTTATTTCAAAAAGATTGGAAATTTTTTCTTCTTTTTTTGTTGGTAAAATGGGTTTCAAGATATTCTAGATTTGTCCCTAGTTTATTCAATGTCTTTACAAGAATATCAAGATGATTTGTATTTGCTAATTTCACAAATGACTGTTGAAAAAGACAGAGTTCTCCCTAGGAATAAAAAAGGGCAGGACGCTTCCTCTCTAAATATGGGAACTTTGAGTTTTGATAAGGCACTCACTTAACACTGCGAGAATTTATTAAAATGTGTAATATTATGCAAATAACTAAATTTTATCCTCAACAGTTTTTAAATTACCCTCTTATACTATTTTATGTGTTTGTTTCAAAAAATGATTCTCTCTCATTATCAAAATTAGAGAAAAATTCGTAGTAAATAAAAATAATTGAAGGCATGATAAAAGACAATCTTTGTGGATATTGTTTTTTCAAAAAAGTAAACAAACAATGATTAATTGATAAACAACTTGAAAGTTTTTTTTTCTTTAATTTAAACTGAAAATTATGAGAAAATAAACATTTAAATGTGCATTTTTTTAATTTAAAAAAAGGTATTTATTTAAAAAATAGGTTTAAAATCACTTAAAAATTTATTTAATATCCTCCCAAAAGAGATAATAAAAATTCAACCCGTTGAGAATAGTCCTAGCAAAGTAAATATTTGTGATAGTAAACAGAATTAAACCTATAAACAAAGATAATTATAACAGTGTGTAATTATTATTTAAACAGTGAATAAATTTTTTTTTCAAAATGGAGTATGAATAAAAAAGCAGTTTTTTTTTATTTTTATAAAAGATGGCCGATTATTTTTACAAAAAAGGGTACATTATTGGGATCAAAGGGAAAGCAGGGTGGGTCACCCTTCAAAAAAAGCTACTAAGAAAGAAATAATATTATTTATGATATTAGAAACACAGTGTAGTTGTTTAGCAAAAGAGAATTGTCTTTACTTTTTTACTAAGCAGAATATTTATTGATGTATTCCATTAATTTTCATACATTTTGTTAAGGATATCACAGATGATGCTTTACGATAATCAACTCAAATAAAAAAACCTTTAAACTTGCAATTTTACTGTGTACCAGTAAAACCATATAACAGTGAAAAAATATTGTAAGTAAAGAAAAAAATATTATATACAAGTTAGCAGATGTCACAAATAACTTTCACTGGAAATGAATTTGGGTAATTCTTTGAGGTCTGCGCTTCAAGATTTAAAATCCAAGACTGTCCAAAGCTTAAATAAAAATGAATTACATTTTCAACTTAATTTCAAAAACTATTACAGGGTGCATAGCCAGATTTTCCAACAAAAAATAAGCACCTTTTAAGCACTGAAAAAATATTTTTAATCACTTTCCTAAAAAAAAAAAACTTAATCAGGATCTGTGCAGTAATAAAAATTCAAAAACTTAACATAATCATGATAAAATAACTAGTTTCTAATAAATATTGCAGAGAAAATTGCGAAAATCATACAACTTTTGTTATTTAGAAGGACAATCGACACTGCAAAGAAAAAAATATCTTTTTAGAAGATAGAAAATTAAGCACTTTTTACAAACCCCGAGTAAAAAAAACACCCTTAAGGGCTTTTAAAAAAGTCAATCAAAAATAAGTATCTTTATAAGTACTTTTTAAAAATGCTACACACCCTGTATTATCTTGCGAAACAATTATGCTCTTTCAGAATTTAATTTCTTTCTTACACTCTTTATATTCATATCTAATTAAAATCACGCTATTAGACTCACACTTAAACCTTTGTTCGCACTCAAAGATACAATAGGTAACATTCACAAACAAATAAGATTAATATTAATTATTAAAGTAAGTAATTTTAGAGTAAAAATACCTGCTGAATAATAGGGGGCTGAGGAGGATAATCAGGAGGATTATACTGCATTGCAGGAGGAGAACTATAAATCGGTGGAGCAACATTCATTGGGGATTGCATATCCTGATGAGAATACTAAATTTAAAATTAAAGGAAAGAATTTGTACTGTAAGTCAAAACAAAGCAGACAAGATAGATTCTTAAAAAGTATCAGAATAACAAATGTAACAATCTCTTTTAAAACAAGTGAGGTAATAAGTTTAATTTTAAACATACAAAATTGGATACATCATTTGCAATATGCATTACGTAAATCAGTTATATAATTTTTGTATATGGTAATATCCCATACATTATAATTTTTTAAGACAAACTAATACTTTTAAATTCAAATTAATAAATGCCCTTTAAATCACACAACCAAAAAATTTACAAGATTAATAGACACAAAGAATTCATAATCATTTGTAAGCACAAAAAAAAAAANAAAAAAAAAAAAAAAAAAAAAAAAAAAAAAAAAAAAAAAAAAAAAGACAGATAATCAAATCAATTCTTCAAATAATAGATCAAAATATTTCTGGAATATTTTTTAAAATTTTATTTAAAAAAAATCTATTGAATACTCACCACAGGGGGCATTAAATTCTGGGGAGGCTGATCATATGAAGGCATTGAAATAGGTGCTGGAGTACTTTCACATGCCATGGAAGCTGGAAAAAAAAAAGTTCCAAGTTTAGCATACGGAATGAAATAATACACAATTACTGAAGAATCGCACTAGTTCAAACTAATTGGAATCCTTGCCCATTCTGATTATTTCAAATTCAGATTGTGATTGATGTACACAACTTATATTTATATAATTAAAACACGAAGAAGCCTCTTCAAATGCTTATGTATGAATGTACCAGAATCTATCTTTCTTTTTAACGTGACGAAGGTAGGAATGCATTAGAAAGCTGTTGTTTTCACACTATATTATGTGAATGATTTTTAGAGATATTTATCACTTTTACAAAACATTCTGTATGTTCAATAAGTATGTTTTGCATAGTGCATATACTGTAGTACAAAGTACATCTCCATTTCTTACAGATCTTGTGTAGAACATACAAAAATAAAACTGTGCAGAAGAGCAAAATCTCTCTATTAAATTATTGCTTTCTCACATCATGAATAAAAATATCACAAGTTTTGTTTGTGTGATTAACTACAAGATCACATGCTTTTCACGATGTTTTATAGCAATTTGTATTTCAGACATGTTACAGCTGTTTTAGAAAGAAAAAAAAGGAGTTGAAATTAGCGTTCAAAATTATGAATCAAACTGTATAAAATTTAAAGAAATTATTATATTAAACAAAATTTAAATTAAATGAATGATAGCTTTTTTTTTAGAAACATGTCCAGTAATTTTAGTCAAAATACTTTCTTATTGAGAACTGAAAATGAAGATTTAATATTCCTTAGAAAATTGCAATTTTCATTAGTATTTATAAATAAAATGTCTTACAAATCCTGAATGCAACTAAACATTTTTTTTTAACAAAAATCACTTTCTAAACAAACCCTCACTTTACTATTTTAAAAATGCTTGTGTATATTGACTGGATTAAAATAATTTACATTAAACTAACTGAGTTAGAAGAATAATTTAAATTGTTCAACACTTTATCCTCAACACACAAGACTTAACTTCCTCTTCTAAAAATAGTTAATAAGTATATAACTTTCAATTTTATCATAGGATTTCTGATTATCCATCCTTATATAATATTAACAAAAATAGAAAAAATATATTAAGTGGAAGAAATAAAGAACTTCAATCACTTTTGTACAATTCGTAGATTGCTCTCCCAATTCAGCCCATAAAATTTTTGCAATTTTAAAATTGTTAAGTAGAAAACACTACAGGCGAAAAAAGCCAGATTTTTTTCAAATCCGCAGANAGTTAAATTTTAACTTTAAATGCATTTTTCTCAAAACATGGTTTTTTCAACTTCCGCGCAGGATATCTCTTGTTCTAATCGAGCAATTCTCTTGAAATTTTCAGCAAATGTGCATAACATCAATCTATTCAAAATAGACTATTATTATGAATCCAATGCAAAAATTAAAAATTTTACAAAAAAAAAAATTACTCAAAATTTTATGAAAAATTGATTTCCTCCATTTAAGACCACCTAGAAAATTTTGTAATTGTTTCGAAATATATTCCTTAGTCTAAAATGTTAATTTGAATATTATCTTTAAATTAAAAAAAGAATTTTGGAATTTGAGTGAAATTTACGTGAAATATCCTGCGCGATACATGATTAAACACATAAACAAAAATTTATTTTTTTCAAAATATTTGTTTTTATAATTTTTTTTCTATAAACATGTGGATTAAACTTTTTATATTTATCAAAATTATGATTCTCTGTTATTTATTTCTCAAAATTTCATATAGTTATCTGCATTAGATATTTTCTTACAGATTTTTAAAGTACCATCCTTTTTTGATCATTTCGCTACATTTTAAAGGAGTACTGTCCCCTTAACAGTTTTTAAATTACCCTCTTATACTATTTAATGTGTTTATTTCAAAAAATGATTCTCTCTCATTATCAAAATAAGAGAAAAATTCGTAGTAAATAAAAATAATAGAAGGCATGATAAAAGACAACCTTTGTGGATATTGTTTTTTTAAAAAAAGTAAACTATGATTAATTAATAAACAACTTGAAAGTTTTTTTCTTTAATTTAAACTGAAAATTATGAGAAAATAAACATTTTCATGCGAAAAAAAGAAGATATTTATTTAAAAAATAGTTTTAAAATCACTTAAAAACTTATTTAATATCCCCCCAAAAGAGATAATAAAAATTCAACCCGTTGAGAATAGTCCTAACAAAGTAAATACTTGTGATAGTAATCAGAATTAAATCTATAAACACAATTTTTTATAACAGTGTTTAATTTTTATTCAAGCAGTGAATTAATTTTTTTTTTCCAAAATGGAGTATGAATAAAAAAGCAGTGTTTTTTTTTAAGGGATGGTCCTTTATTTTTACAAAAAAGGGTGCATTTATTGGGATCAGAGGGCAGGTCACACTTAAAAAAAAAACGTTTAGGGAGAGCACTGGTATATATATCAATTATTTAGCATCTATAAACTAGCTACAAGAAAAAAACTAACAATAAGTCATTAATATAATATAAACAACTGAAAAATGTTTCACTTAGTACAATTTTAGATTACATATAAAATAAATAAAATATTCAAATCTAAAGTGTTTAATTGTCTAATCTAAAAATAAAAGACTAAGTAAGAATGAATATTATTGATGATACTAGAAAACACAGCATAGTTGTTTTGTAAAAGAGATTTGTCTTTACTTTTTCACTAAGCAAAACATTTATTGATCTATTCCATTAATTTACATACATTTTGATAAGGGTATCAAAGATAATGTATAGTTGTTTTATTACTCAACTACAAAAAAAATCTCTTTAACATAAAATTTTTCTGAGTACCTGTAAAACCATATAATAGTAAAAATATATTGAATGTAAGGAAAAAAAAATATTATATACAAGTTAGCAGATGTCACAATTAACTTTTACTAGAAATGAATTTGGGTTAACTTTTTGAGGTCTGTACCTCAAGATTTAAAATCCAAGACTGCCCAAAGCTTAAATAAAAATGAATTACATTTTCAACTTACAACTTACAATTTCAAAATTTTAAATACTATTACAGGGTGCATAGCCAGATTTTTTCAACTAAAAATAGGCACCTTTTAAGCACTAAAAAAATATTTTTAATCACTTTCCAAAAAAAAAAAAAAAAAAAAAAAAAAAAAAAAAAAAAAAAAAAAAAAAAANCAGTAATAAAAATTATTTTTTCTAGTGTTTAAAGTTCTTAATTTATAAGCATAAAATCAATAAAATTCAAAAACTTTACATAACCAGGATAAAATAACTAGCTTCTAATAAATATTGCAGGGAAAATTGTGAAAATCATGCATTTTTTGTAATTTAGAAGGACAATCAACATGGCAAAGAAAAAAATCTTATTTTAAAAGATAGAAAATAAAGTACTTCTTACAAATCCCGAATAAAAAAAGCACCTTTAAGGGCTTTTAAAAAAAGTAAATCAAAAATAAGTATCTTTAAGCACTTTTTAAAAATGCTACACACCCTGCATTATCTTGCGAAATAAAAGAGTTTATTCTCTTTTAGAATTTACTTATCTTGCGAAACCAAACAGAGTTCATGCTCTTTCAGAATTCACTTCTTTCTTACACTCTTTATATTCATATCTAATTAAAATCATGCCATTAGAACCACACTTAAACATTCATACTCAAGATACAATAGGTAACATTAAAAAAAGAAGATTAATATCAATTATTAAAGTAAGTAATTTTAAAGTAAAAATACCTGCTGAATAATAGGGGGCTGAGGAGGATAATCAGGAGGATTATACTGCATTGCAGGAGGAGAACTATAAATCGGTGGAGCAACATTCATTGGTGATTGAATATCCTGATGAGAATACTAAATTTAAAATTAAAGAAAAGAATATGTACTGTAAGTCAAAACAAAATAGACATGAAAGATTCTTAAAAAAGTATCAGCATAACAAATGCAATAATTTCTTTTAAAACAAGTGAGGTAATAAGTCTAATTTCAAACATACAAAATTGGATACATCATTTACAATATGTATTAATTAAACCAGTTATGTAATTTTCGTAGATGATAACGCACCATACACAATGTTTTTATCATAGAAAAAAAAATGGGTGAGAATTTCTCACCCTTTCTCAAAAACAGGGTGAGATTTCAAAAAGTTAAGTGAGATTTATAAAAACTAAAAAAACACAAACTCTTGAAAAAAAATCAGTTCTCTAATTATAATACATTTTTAACGTCTATTTTTTAAAGCATTGAATATTTTTGCTTCTATGCATCATCATAGAAGATTTTGCCTTTTTTGAAGAAGGTATTTGTCCATCTTACATAAGTGCATAAAATATTTGCGTCTTACATGAAGAAACCTTACCTACGGTAAACACGTGGTTGCAGAGAAATGTGTTCTGTTGTTCAAAAAAGTTCTAAACAATACTGGTAAATAGGGAAGCTAGATAATGGAGCAGATGTTGAAAATAATGAAAGATCCAGGAAGAAAAGTGAAACGGATTTTATTCTAAATGGAGTAATTCGAAGCTTTTTCCAAAATGCGAGAAATTCGCGAATTTTGAAATTGATTTATAGAATGCGCGAATTTCTCGCGGTAATTTATTTTTTAATGCAAGAAAAGAAAAAAATATGTGAGATTCTCACGTTCTCGCACTGTAGTGAAAACACTGATACATAGGTCTTTCAGACTAACTAATACTTTAAAACTCAAATTAATAAATGCCCTGAAAATCACAGAAAAAAAAAAGAAAGCCGATAATCAAATCAATTCTTCAAATAATAGACCAAATGATTTTAGGAATATTTTTCAAAATTTTAATTAAAAAAAATCTTTTGAATACTCACCACAGGGGGCATTAAATTCTGGGGAGGCTGATCATATGAAGGCATTGAAATGGGTGCTGGAGCATTTTCACATGCCATGGAAGCTGGAAAAAAAGTTCCAAGTTTAGCATACAGAATCAAATAATACACAATTACTGAAGAACCACACTAGTTCAAACTAATTGGAATCCTTGCCCATTCAAATTATTTCAAATTCAGATTCTGATTGACGTACACAACTTATATTAACATAATTAAGACACGAAGAAGCCTGTTCAAATGCTTATGTATGAATCCACCAGAATCTATCTTTTTTTTTTTAATGTGATGAAGGTAGGAATGCATTAGAAAGCTGTTGTTTTCTCACAATATTATGTGAATGATTTTTAGAGATATTTATCCCTTTTACAAAACATTCTGCATGTTCACATAAGCATGTTTTGCATAGTGCATATACTGTAGTACAATCTCCATTTCCTACAGATCTTGTGCAGAACATATACAAACATTAAGCTGGGCAAAAGTGCAAAATCTCTCTATTAAATTATCGTTTTCTCATATCATGAATAAAAATATCACAAGTTTTGTTTGCGTGATTAACTACAAGAACACATGCTATTCACGATGTTTTAAAGCAATTTGTATTTCAGACATGTCACAGCTGTTTTAGAAAGAAAAAAAAAAGTTGAAATTAGCGCAGCAACTTAACTTTAGTCAGGTTTTCAAAATTATGAATAAAATTGTATAAAATGTAAAGAAATTATTATATTAAACAAAATTTAAATTAAATGAATGATAGCTTTTTTTTTTTTAGAAACATGTCCAGTAATTTTAGTCAAAATACTTTCTTATTGAGAACCGAAAATGAAGATTTAATATTCTTTAGAAAATTGCAAGTTTCATTAGTATTTATAATTAAAATGTTTTACAAATCCTGAATGCAACTAAACATTTTTTTTTTTAAACAAAAATCACTTTCTAAATAAACCCTCACTTTACTATTTTAAAAATGCTTGTGTATATTGACTGGATTAAAATAATTTACATTAAACTAACTGAGTTAGAAGAATAATTTAAATTGTTCAACACTTTATCCTCAACACACAAGACTTAACTTCCTCTTCTAAAAATAGTTAATAAGTATATAACTTTCAATTTTATCATAGGATTTCTGATTATCCATCCTTATATAATATTAACAAAAATAGAAAAAATATATTAAGTGGAAGAAATAAAGAACTTCAATCACTTTTGTACAATTCGTAGATTGCTCTCCCAATTCAGCCCATAAAATTTTTGCAATTTTAAAATTGTTAAGTAGAAAACACTACAGGCGAAAAAAGCCAGATTTTTTTCAAATCCGCAGAAAAGTGGCACGGCTGAAAATCACACGAATCACATCACACATTTTATTGACAACATTTTAAATTACTCTAAAGATGAAATCTGCATTATTTTCTATCCTAGACTATATTATGCTTCATATGGTTTTTGAATTATACGCATGCACTCTAGATCTTATGCACATTACGTGATTTTATTTTATTATCAGATTTCACATGGTCCTCACCTTAATTAAATTCCATTATTTATCTTTTTATAGTATTATTGATGGAGCTATTGTTTTTCTTGATTGGTTTGTTTCGTATTGATTTTCGTGGTCTCTGAAAAAAATTTATAACTAAATGAATATTTTTACTAAGTTTCTTTTCATTTGAAATTCTTTTAAAAACTTATTACTGGCATTATCTTTCCAGATTATTCGAAATATGGGAATACATTGGTCTAAATTTGTAGTATTCTGCTGTATTTTACTACACTATTTTAGATATTATACCAGTTAAGTTTTATTTATATTAATATTAGAAACTAATTGTTTTAATGAAATTAATTTAATTCTTCACCAAAAATAAAACAAAATTTAAAAGAATATTTAAACTCTACACTTTTTAATTCATTTATTATTTATAAAGTTTAATTTGAATATTTTGTACAGTAGGATCAGGCACTAATAAAAACTGAAACTTACTTTCTCCAGAAGTCGGGGGAACAAGAACTCCTCGGAAATGAGGATTTATGAGAATTTTACGTGATTGCGTAGAAACAGGAGGAACTGAAGGCTCTGGAGGAGAATACTAAACCAAAGAATAATCATATAAGCAAATAATCAATCATAGGCAATAACAGTTTCTAAAAAGTAATCTATTACAACTCAAACAATTTAATGATGATGGAAGATTATAGAAGAAGCATTTTGTAAAAATAAAAAAAATGTTGAATCATAAAAATTTCATACATAATGAGGACCTTTAAAAGTAAAAGTTTTGATAATATGGGGATTTTTTCACAAGTTTTCTAAAAATGAGTAACACATTCAGGGCTAAACGACCCTATCAGACCTTAAAACTTACAATGAGCATGACATCAAACACCACTTTTAGCTTAATTCATGTAAACAAAAATAAATCAGTAAGAAATGTTAAGTTAAGTTTCACTATAATATCATTTTAAAACAGATGAAAGAATACGAATATGATGCATTTTGTGTTACACTTTAAAAACTTGATTATTTTGATGTAGCGATTTTTAATAGTATCCAGATAATGGATAAATACCCACAAAATTTATTTTTATAAGCATTATTTTAGGAACCAAAATTCTTTTAACTGAAAATAGTAATGACAATAATATTTATTTTCACATAACATATGTTACATTTTCGTAGTTATTTTTACTTTACAGTTTTATTCTTATAGATAATGTGTTGTTGAATAAAAAAAGTTATATTTATATAATTTTTGAATGAAAAATTAGTCTAGAGCAATAATATATTCTTGCAATTAAGTTTATCTTAACTTTAACACACGGAACAATGGTCAAAATTATAAACGTACATTACATACATTATGGAAAACTAATTAATGGCTTAGTTTTGTAAACTAGTAAATAATGAAAAATCTTTACTTGTGGTGCTTGATTTTGCTGCTTGTTCATAAAAGGTTGAGGGTTGCGGCTATAAGTTGCACTCTTCATTCTAGGTAAAGGCCTGCCTTTAAAGCGCATTTTTCGTTTTTGCTCATTTTCTAGAAATGCTTGAACTTTAGCTGTTTCTTCTTGACTTATGACGGAATCTAAAACAAATAAAATGCATAGTCTAATGGTAAATGTGACAAAACCAAACAGTTTAACAAATAGTAAGAATAAATTTTAAAAATAAAGCATTAATTTAATTTTTTAATATTATTCTTTTTAAATAGAAAAGAGAACTGTTAATTTAATAAATCATAAATATAAAGTTATATAATATTAGAAAACATTACATTTGTAACTGAGTAATTATTAAAGATAGCATTAAATTCTTGAAAAAATTCCAGACCATTATTCATATCACTTTTATATTGGTGGATGAATTTTTTAGTTGAACACATCAATTCTTTTAAGTCTATGTCTTTTGATGAAAATATTTTAAAAAAGCTAAATTCTGAGTATATTTGAAAAAGTGGCACAATTGAAATAAGATTATGATTTTGTGACACACACTCCCTCTCTATCCCTAGTGAACTGGTCTAAACGCCGCCTTCGGCATGAGTAGAAATAGTTAGTTAAACTTTTGAAATCTTTTTGGATAGACAGTTTCTGTCTCCCTTTTGTAATTGTAGTATCTGTTGGTAATTTTGTGTGTAACCTTATAACCTTTACCTTATAACATTAAAATACTGTTACGCTAAAAGGGCTGATTTACTTTAACCCATTACCACCGGACAAAATTTTTAATTTATGGTTGCAGCATAGTTAAAAACAGGGTTTGTTGATTTCAATTAGCTTGATTTAACGCACAAAAAAATAAAAGAAAGCTTAGAGATAAATTAAATTTTTCTTTTTTTACAGTGTGATTTATTTTTTAAATAAATGGGTAAGTTATTTTATGCTGTAATATTTTTCACTTGCAGATAATGCATGAGGCAACAAAATTTAGTTTATAATTTCAAAAATTTTTATTAAAAAAAAAAAAAAAACCTCAAATTGCGATTTCTCTATTCTTGCTTGCTTTCCCACAATTAATTATTATTCTAATTTTGTAAGCATTTCATGCTACTATTAAACAATATTTAGCGCAATAATATAGTTTTATATACATCGTTATGATTTATTTTAACTACACTCATGCTTATTATGTATCAGTTAATTCAATTACAAATAAGAAATAAGTGTAATTGAATTAATAATATATATTAATTCAATTAGGTTCATGTTTATGACATTTAACTATTTATAATACAGTGTTTTCACTACAACGCGAGAATCTTGCATATTTTTTTCTTTCCTCGCATTAAAAAATTATTATCGCGAGAAATTCGCGCATTCTATAAATCAATTTTTAAAATTCGCAAATTTCTCGTATTTTGGAAAAAGCTTCGAATTACGCCATTTAGAATAAAATCCGCTTCACTTTTCTTCCTGGTTCTTTCATTATTTTCAACATCTGCCTCATTATCTAGCTTCCCTATTCACCAGTATTGTTCAGAATCTTTTCGAGCAACAGAACACAACCACGGAACCCTTTTCAGAACACATTTCTCTGCAACCACGTGTTTACCGTAGGTAAGGTTTCTTCATGTAAGACGTTCAAATTTTTTATGCACAGATGTAAAATGGACAAATACCTTGTAAAGGCAAAATCTTCTATGATGATGCACCAAAAATATTCAATGTTTTAAAAAATAGAAGACGTTAAAAATGTATTATGATTAAAGAAATGATTTTTTTTTCAAGAGTTTTTGTGTTTTTTTAGTTTTTGAAATCTCACTTAACTTTTTGAAATCTCACCCTGTTTTTGAGAAAGGGTGAGAAATTCTCACCTATTTTTTTTCTATGATGAAAACACTGTAATATAAACACTCACAAAGTATTTCGAATAAAGTAAAAAAATTTGATTTAATTTTGAAAAGATACAATTTTAATAAAATGAATAAAAGAAAACATGAATCCTGGTCTAAACTACAGAAGTAGAATTAAAATCAACTAAAAATTACCTAAAGTGTCAGGAATATCTGTTCTCTTTTTAGCAGGAGTCAAAGTTATTATATTACTTCTTTCAGATCTAAAGCGTTCCCTGTGATCATCCTCATCTTCGCTTTCTTCATCAAATTCCATTTCGTCATTTGAGTCTGGAACTAGACGTTGAGATGAGGTTAGACTTTTGCTAACATAGGCGATGGTATTACTGGTAGTTTCAATTTCTATATTAGGACTAGAAATGGACTCTTTCCTTTTTATTGTGTGCACTTTTTCCAACTCTTTTCTTGAAGTAAGAGAAATTAAATTTCCTTTTTGTTTCTCATAAGCTTTTTTAGGAGTCTGAAAAAAGTAACGTTTAATCATTATAAAAATTTCTTAAAATGGAAAAATCACTGTGCAAATATTACAAGTTGAAAATAATTAGATGCATACAGTCTACGCTTTTTAGTACAACCCCCATTACAGCAATTCTTCCAATATAAGAACCGATACACACCTCATTTGCTGTTCCATAGACACAATGTTACTTTGATGTCCATTAGAATGCTACCATTGACACCCCCGTGACAAAATCGTGGCAACACAGCGACATTGTCGCAGAACGTTTAAGAGTTCTCATAGAAAGATTTTTTCTATGGAAAGTAACAAATTTCGGTTTTCTTTTCTGAAGAAATTTTCCCTTTTTTTTAGTTATTACTATTACTGCAGTTATTACTATTAATTTCCACATAGTTTTCAAAATCCTATATTTTTAACATGATATTATTTATTACAACTGAATCTCGAAGCGAAAACATGAAATTAGTAGCCCGTTTTTGAAGTCTGATTCGCTTGAGTTCGTCATCGTTTTTTTTCCGCGGTAGTTACTGCTACGGATTTCTTAAAAAAGAATTACATATTCAATTAAAAAAATTATTTTATCCGAAAGTTTTTTTTTCTCTTGATGTTGATGCTTTTGCTACTTTAAATTACAGGGGTCTGTCTAGGTTTTTCTGAAAGGTATCTATTTTGTGAAAATTTAGACCAAATTTGCGAAAATAAAAAATTGTACCAAAAAAATCAACATAAAAATATGAATTTATCCTTTCTTACAGGATACAAAAATTTTTTTTTAAGAAAGAGTATTTTGTGAAACTACCGCTTTTCTTAAAGTTGAATTTGTGAAGGTACCGCTAAACGGTAGTAAGTTTGACCTGGACAGACCCCTGAATTAGTAACATGTATATTTGCTATTAAAAGTGTCTTGCAGAAAGACATTAGTACTAGAGAGGTACGTCGCAGAAAGCGTGAAAAAATTCTGCCACATTCATAAAATATAACGACTGAAATTTAGTCGCGATTTAAAAAATAAGTCATAGAAATTACTTAAACTATTATTTTCTTCGATGTTACCACACAATTTAAAACGCCTTGAATTCCCTAAAATTGCAACTATTTTGTCAATTTTAAAATTGCAAATATAAACTAGAAACCATACTTTAAAGAGCAGTTGCAAAACTTTAAAAAATAAATCGGAGAACATTTTTATACAAACAAATTATACAATAGGAAAAAAAAAACTATCATAGGAAATAATGTTTTCAAATTATGTGAGGATTTTTTCAGACCAAACTTTTGATATTGAACATTAGTAACATTTATTTAAAAGATTTAAACTTTCTTAATGAGATGCTCATTTTTAGAAGCTTCTTAACATTTTCAGTAAGAGTTGATAAATAAAAAAAATAAATAAAAGAATATTATTAAAATTAATAACATCATTTGTAAGTATACAATCCATTAAAAAATGTTTTGCAAATGAAATAGTCCTCTTAACTAATTTTTTTTTCTCACTTAATATTTAAATACAAAATTCTTTTTTACTTAAAGGATTTTTCAAATTTTTTAGGAAGATATATGATATTTTCAAAAGTTCAAAAACAAAGTTAAGAAATAGGCAGAGTTAGAAACTATACTTTAATGTATTTTGAATGAACATAAAAAGATAAATTATCTGAACTCTTCATGAAATACAAAAACTGCATTTGTTAAAACGAAAAATATCAGTGAATTACTAACAGTTCAAAATGTTTCTTTTTTTAATTAGACATTTAAAACTAACACAATTTTAAAATACTTACCTCAATTGGTGACGAATCTACATCATCTTGCATAAAACTGTCGAGTTCATCATCTAGATTAAGATCTAATATATCTTCATCTGCAGAGCTACCAGAGAAAAATATTACGATAAGTAGTATGAAGACATAAAAATAGCTATAGTATATAAATTTAAAAATAACAGTTTATGATCATATAAATAACATATCTGATGAAGCTTGGCGAATATTTGCCAAGCTTTGTGTTGGAATAAGTATTAAGTTAAGTGCCAACACCAAAAATTTGAAATAAGGTAGATTATTTTTTAGTTAAACTTTTACTAAAAATTAACGCACTCGAAACTATTTTAGAAGAAAAAAAATGCTTATATAGATTACATCAAGTATATCTATATCGGACAGGAAAGTTTTTGGAAAAAATAAAATACTAGTACTAAATTACTATTACTACTAAATACTAGTAATTATTAAATACTTTAGCAGGGGAGCCCTACTAAAAAATCCTGAAAATTTCTTGAATAAAATATATTTTCAAAATATGAAATTCTAAATAAAATATATGCAGCATGATTTAAATGAATAATTATTTATAAGTTTACTTTTATCTCTAATCACATTTATTATTCTACCAGAACAAATATTTACAAATTATACACATGCCAACAAGTATAAATTCTAGTTCTAGTTTTTTAAAATAAAATATACAAAATTTTTTATTAATAAATATGATCGATGATTTCCTGTAACTTCTGGATTACAATTAGAGCAAAATCCGGAAATCTGGATTTTTTCCGCAGCACAATCATCTCTGCTTCAGTACTAGTAATTACTGCTAGTACTAAGAATACTATTTAATAATTGATATAAAAACACTGAACATAAAGACTATTTAATATTCAAAATATTTAACTTAAAAAATATGTATATAAATTGCATAATATTGATATGGATCTGTTTCAGGGGCTGTAAAAAATCTGTCACCACAACCATAGTACTTGTAATAGTATATTTTAGATACCTATTACTTCAACACCAACAGTACCATTACCAAAATTAATTAAGTCTCACTCGGGATCAATAATAGTTGGGTAGTCTTTTATTATAACCTTCAAAGCTGATAAGAACTTTAATACAACTTTTTATAACAATATTTTTATCTGGTGCCCAAAGTATTGCGATAACAATGCAGCAACCTTAAAATAAGTATACTGATACAAATTATGAACTCTTAAAATAAATTTTTTTCATGGGTTTGCATTTTTTATAATGATTTCTTTTGTTTAAGGAAGAAAACTACTTAAGTAAAAAATAAATAATAACAATAAAACAGCTGTAAAAACACAACAGCTATAAAAACACATTAAAAATAATTATTGGAAGTTGGAAATCAATATAAGATTGAGACTATGTCTCAATCTTATAAGGCTTGTTTAACAGTAAATGGCTAATTTTATTACCAGAGTCAAAGTAAATAGTTGGATTTTCATTCTAACTTAGGAATTGAAAAAGACATCTAATATGCTGTAAAATATAGTAATTTGAATGCCATGCATGCCGAACTTATTTAAGAAATAACAAGATTAATTTAAAGCTAATCATCTTTTACATAACAGCACGACTTACAATGCATCCATAATCAAATAATTAGGTACATAACATTAAATACACATTATTAAACAAATAAAGACTCACTCAGATTTCCGCACATTGGCAACTTCATACAAGTCAGCATTATTTTCACCTATCTCTACAGGATTTCCCTCTTCATCAAAATATTCTACATCTGGATCATCTAGATTGAAAAAAAAAGTACAAAATAATTATAAAATATCACCAACACACAATGATTACTATTTTTATTTCAATTTATTAGCTCAAATTACATTCCAATACAATTTATGACTGATTTTAAAATAAAAATTCTAGTAATGGTCATAATATCAGTGAAACAAAAAAAGGCAAATTCCATTAAGTAAAATACAATTAGAGGGGAAAATCATAAATATTGACTACTTAATTGACTTTACTTAAACTAATTGCTCTACTTTTTGCCTCTTCAAATTCAATTACAAAGCATTAAAAAAGGTCCCATTGATTAAGGTTTAAATTATAAGAAATAAAAGGTAAATTTTAATTAAAAAGATATCCAAATTTTTAACTTTGCTATGTTTTAAGACAAAATAAAGTATTAAGCTAAAAATGTTAATTACATCTAATCACAAATATTAATTCCATTTAAATGTGAATGAAATGTGAGCAAAAATAACTAAAAAATGTTATTTACTTGTCAAAAGCACACACACAAAAAAAAAAATAATAATAATTCAAGTATATAGATATATTCAAATTCAACATATACTTGACTTTCAGAATTTAAAATCAAATATATTTTTTATATGAAATTCAATTTTAAAAAGATTAGGTTCAAATATTTATGTGTAACACTAAAAGATTTATGAGAAGGTTTCCTACTCAATACACACAAATACTTAAATATAACCAATATACTCAACATTTCTTTTGTTTACGAATTTTATTCTTGAATATAACCAATATACATAGCATTAGGTCATGTAATTTCAGATTACAAAAAAAAAAGGCAAAATATTCAATACCGTCTAGAACTCGAATCTTCATAATGCAAGCTACAATTCAACATGTAAACATTATGCAAAGTGAAAAAATTATGACGTTTTACTGAAATGAATAAAAGTATTTCAGGGAATTCGAATAGTTAAATAAGAAATTTATAATGAAAAGTACAGATGTACTTTTAAAATATGCGCCATTTTCGCGAAACTTAACAAAGGAAATCCAAATTGGAAGAATGAAGAGACCTTACACGCGAATCACAATTTAATTTATAAAAGCTTACGGAGTCATATTACTGCAGCAAGCGTTGAATCCGTGAATTCCATTTTTAAAATAATTAAAGATTGGAATTTAAAAATTCATAATTGGATTTTTTGTGATAACAAAAATTTCAATTAACGATTCTGTGGAATTTGAAATCTAAGGGTAAAAACATTTACTGCGTGCTTGCAGTGTTGCCAGAACTTAAGATTAAGAAGTAGCGAATGTGAGCTTCAAAAGTAGCGGATTCGAACATTTTGTAGCCCAAAAAAGCTACGTTATATATATATACTACTAAATTAAAAAAATAAGTTAAATTTCAATGCGGTAGTTGTGGTTCATTTACGATTGGCGACGGCTGGGAAACATCCGATGATCCAAAGACATACCATCACAATTTTGATCCCCTGCAGAGGTCATGGCACCCCCCGCTTCAGTAGCATGACGACCTGCACGCGAAGTCGAGCACTTTACGGTAGAACAGTTTAACGAGGAACCATACCGCACGACCTCGGTCCCTACGCAGACTGATCCACGTGGTCACCCACCCTCACATTGACCGCGTGACCAGTTATGTTTTATTTATTTTTTTATAAACGTCGTTGAACAGCCGACCCAATTTTTTGGGTTTACGACTACTAATGTTCAACTCCGTAGCCTTGTAATTTTGAATCCAATCCAGAAGACAAGGGTACTCCTGGATCAAGCATTGGGAGAAATTTTGCCTTCCTGGAGAACTTTTTGATGGAACTAACTGGTATTTGCGTTACATGGAGAGGAAGACCACGAGAACTCTCACGGTTAGCCTCACGGCAAGGTGACTCAAACCCATGATCCGTCTACCACTGAGGATATTTCACGTCAGCTCTGTGGTCGGTGCAAGCAGGATGCGGAATTCGTATCGACCAGCCATCGCCAGGATCGGAGCCCGGTTCACCTCATTGGAAGGCGAACACTCTCTCCCCTGAGCCATCGCGGCTCACCCAATGATGTTTGACTTCAATGATCTGCTGAGAACCGTGTCTTAACGATCAGTCCACTGAGGGACTTAAATTTCAATGCGCTGCGTTCATAATTTCGCCAAATTCAATATTTCGTTTTAGCTCAGATTACAGGTTACGCGATTTTTCCAGATGATAAGCGATTAATAATGGTTGGAGTTAAAGCTTTTTTTCCCCGCCATACTAGCCGTGCATTTTTCCATATATATCTTTGCGTTTTCACGAGTCTATGATTTGAAGCATAGATATGGAGAGATTCTGGACTCTGCACGGCAAAACAAAACAAGAATACAAAACGAAAGCTGATGCGTTCTCAGAAATAATAGAAAATATTTTTAAAAAAGATAAAGAAACTGCAGACTTTACAGAATCTCTCATTTTATAATAGGAAACTTTTTTAAAGGTATTTCTGTGAGATAAGTAGCATGAAGTTCTCTAAGTAGCGCATTTTTAAGATTTGTAGCTTTTGAAAAATAATGAGTAGCCCAAATTCGATTTTGTGTAGCGGGGAGTTTTAAAAGTAGCCCAATCCGCTACTTGTAGCCCAATCTGGCAACACTGCGTGCTTGCAGCAAGGGCAGAAACGAAAACAATCCTGTAAAATGCGGACAGTGATTGTTTAACAAGCCTATTAATTATTTATAAAAAAATAAAGAGAAAATATGTTATCGTTCACACAACAGGAAAAAAAAATAGACACGTCAAACACTATTTAACAGCATTAAACAAAGCAAACAATAAAAATTGAGGATGAAGCACATTTTAAAACGATCAATTAGCGTTTCAACTTCCGAAAGGGACGTTGGACGGTTTATTTCTTAGAATTATATCATGTTACGGTTATGAAAATAATCAAATTGAAACTGTGAAAGGTGTATTACAAAAACAACAAAACTGAAATAATAAAGATGAAAAAAAGTATTACCAGCGATTTCAAAAGAATTTTTTATTTGAATAATGTCAATCTTAACAGTTATTTTATTTCTGAGAATTATCATGTTACTGAGTCATGATTATAAAATTAATCGAACAGAAACTGAGAAAGATGTATTACAAAAATAACCAAACTTAAATAATAAAGATGAAAAAAATACTGCAAGCGATTTTAAAGAATTTTTTTTTCTCAATCGAGGCAATCTTATGGCTTCATAAGTACGAAAAAAACTAAGATATATAGTTACTTAATTTTTTTTCTAAAAAGGACTTTCAGTTCTTATTACTTACTAATATAATTTATATATAAATAAACGCAAATTTAGAATTACTCTTCTAAATATGAACTACCTTGAAAAATTCTAGAGCGAAATTGGAATACAAATTTTTAAAATATGCCCCTCTCAATAATTAGAAATCTAAAAATCCCCCCCAATATTTCAGAAAAATAAGGAAAATTATTATGAATCATCATCGATTTAAAATCATCAAAGTTAAAAATGAGAGAGAGATAAAGATAATCAATCTTTTTGCACATATTTAGCAAACGTAAGAATTTTTTATGAATGAAATTTAGAGAGTTATTGAGACTTGTACATTTTGTACATATTGAGACTTTGCGTCACCATAAAAAATTGAACCCCTGCGATGCCTATGGCCAACTATATCTCATTACTTTGATATCACTTTATATATATCTATATATATATTTTTTTTTTGCACTGTACTTGCTCTTATTTATTTCATTCTAAAATAATAAGAGTCTTTGTTTTTTAGAAATATTTTAGATCACATCCGATTAATTTATGATTAATTATGCTCTATAAGTATGAGTGACACTTTATTGCATTTGGGTATATAAAATTTTAAAGTTTATGTTTTTCTTTGTTTGTTATTTCAATAAATTTCAGTGTTTTTGGCATATCTGTAAAGAAAATACAACATAAAAATGTGAAAGTAAATTATTTAGTCTTAACTCTTTAATTGAGGGAAGATTTTAAGTCAATTAATTAATTTTTGTAGATTACGCCTGCTTTAGTTCACATAACGTTAAAAACAATTAAGTTTCTAATGTTATAACAGGAAACTGTGTTAAGTGTATTATGATACTCAGTTGACAAAATATTTATTAATGCTGGCTATTATCACGGTGCGATGTACTCATTTAATTGATGGTGACTATTAACATGAAATCGGATAAAAAAAACAAAACAAAATCAAGCTATTTCAGACTTAAAAACAAATAAACAATAAAAAAATTTAATGAGTTTCTTAGATTGCAAGAAACTTAATCGAAAAAAATATTCTTTTGGAAACGTAATAAATTCTTAATTGATGGTCTTGAATTTTGTTTTAAGTTCTGCTGCTTTAGAGTTTCTTCAAATATTACGTAACCATCCACAGAGAGCAGGGTTTGTGATTGGTTTATTTTTGCTGACAAAGGGAGCGAGCTATAGGGGGAAAAAAAAGAAACGTTAAATTTGAAAAGAAAGGCGGAAAATTTTTTTCCGAAGAGTTTCAAAATTTAATGAAATAAATTTAGACGTGCATTTTGCTTTAGGCAAGCTTACATTTTTATTTTTTATTTAAGTAATCCTAAAATCAGATATTTGCAGTGAAATACGAAGCAATACTCTTGTTATTTATGCAAAATTTGTTTATGGAATACGAAGACTGGTTGCAATACGACTTAGATAGCATAAAATAGTGTTTGTTGCTGGTTTATATTTACTGACAAGGGGTGAGGGAGAACTGAAAATTTCTAAAAACGTGTTTACGTTATATTGCCCTTTAGCAACACACAAATGATTTTCTTTATTTCGCTAGGTATTAAACCTACCGTCGACAAAATTTTTTTCCCAGCCATTCAGCATTGTATACAACTATGTAAATGTTTAAAAAATAACAAAAATATTTCAATCGTTTTTTGATAGGCTTAGCCACCAGGATAAAGGGGTATTATTAATATAGTTATTCTAATTAAGCAGAAAGAACAGCCGACCCA